CGTGGACAATGATTGGGCGCCATGTGTCAATAAGGGTCCCATGTGGATATTAAAAAAATTACGAAAAAAAAAATTGTTCTTCTCCTTCGAACATCTTCTTCTTCTCCCTCCCTTCTCTAACCCTCATCTCTCTCCTCCTTTGCACACCCTCTCCCCTCTGCATGTCCACTTTCTCTCTCTAACCCTCCTTTCTCTCCTCCTCTGCACACCATATCCACTTCACAACTTCTGGACCACTCTGCTTTGCCAAAGAGTTACTGAGTCGGAACCTCGAACTCGCCTCTGAGCTGGACTCCAGCGACTCTTCACCTCTTCACCTGGCGACAGCAAAAGGGTCGGTGGAAATGGTGAAAATCTGATGCAAGGTTAACCCAGATCTGGGTTTGGTGTTGCATCACGATGGGTTCACTCCCTGCATCTGGGTGTGATCAAGGGGCGAGCTAGCCGAGTTGGCCCGAGTTAGATCGGCGACGAGGGTGTGTGGAGGAGAGAAGGGAAGGAGAGGGTCAATGTGATATCCCGTCCCCAAAATTATTATTTTATTTTATTCTTGACGTATTTCGAAGATTTGATTGGAACTAGTTCTTTATTTCTCCAAATTTAAGAAAAACGAAGTGAGGGGTACTTTAGTTATTTCTAATTTTCTTGACCTTTTCGATCAACTCTTGAATTGGTTAGGTAGAGTTCGATTCCATGAGCGCGTAGGGCATAAACAGATCTTATTTCCAAGTCAGAACGGAGAAGTTAGAGTTGTTTGAAGTTGGTTGCATTTTGGTAATTTTACCAAAATGCTATAAATGGGAGTGAAACCTCCAGAAAAAGGGGAGGTTTCTGAAAAATGGGAAAAAGGCTGTTACTAACCCGTTTTAGGGAGATTTGGACCCATAAACCCATCAAACTTGACCCGCTTGTATCTTCTTCATTCGAGCTCCGTTTTGGGTGATCTTGGTGTCCATGGAAAGCTCTTGACGAGCCCTACATCTCTGTGATGTTAGATTTCCCCATTTCTTTTCCAGCTTTGCAGTTCGAGGTCGCAAAGCTCACTACTTTTCCGGTGGTTTTATCATTTTTTCGGCGATTCCAGCAACGATTTCCTTCGAGTGAGGTATGAAACTTCATCTACTCTTCATAATCTTCAAGTTGGTATGCTTAGTTTGTGCTTTCGTATTCATTTTAGAGTTGGGTGTTTAGAACCCTAGAAATCCGGTTTTCGCCGGTGAATTTGAACAGTTTTCAGTTAGAATTTATCGTCGGCCTAGTTGTGAAAAATGTTTCCCTTGTTGAGCTCTAGCTACCACGTAAATTTGAGCTCATCTAGTTAATGTTGAAAATTCGGGGTTTCTAAACCCTCCATCTTGACTTCCATAGCGTGTGGCAGTGCGTGCGATCGTTCACAAGTGTTGTCTAGGTTTCAAATACCTTCTAGTGACCCTAGTGAACCTATGTCTAGCTCGGTTTCTAAAGATTCAATTTTTTGGTGTGGTGATCAATTTGGACCGCCACTTGTTTGTATGATTGACGACAATCCGACCGTTGGATCATAATGAAACTTTAGTATGTTATTCTCGAAGCAGAATGTGGACTTTGGGAAGTTATGGATCATAAATCTGATTTGCGGATCGTTGTGGACCCCATTGTTGACCGAGAATTGAATTGTGGTCAACATGTCTCGGAACGTTCTAAATAATAAAATTAGTACTATGGGAGACTTAAGTGAAGTCTAGTGGGCCTATATTGGTTAGAGAGTGACTTGAACACATGTGATATAGTTATTACCTTGATTTCTTATATTGGTATCATCTGTGAATTTGACTTGGTTTTATAATGTGATTCTATTGAAATGTGAATATATATATATATTTAGTCATAGACCTATGTTTATTAAACATGATTTGGCTTGTGTACTGATGATGATCGTGATATGTGATTTGACGTGCATATTCGAAAGGTGGTTGATTCATATAGATGGTATGATATGATGAAATGTGAGTGACTTTAATATATGTGAATATGAAATGGTTTTATAATCATTTTTCCTATAAATTGTTAATTTTTATATTTAGCCAATGATGTAGTTATATGAAGTGGGATTTGACGTGCATATTGGAAATATCGTTTGTTTTGTATGATTGGCTTGATTTGATGAAGGTGAGGGCTAGTGGTGGACCGTTAACCCATTGTCATGGGGTTTGTTGCTTCGAAACATGTGTCAATGCTCGTTTCATTATTTCATTTCTTGTTTTGTTGAGCCTTTATAACTTGAGTAACTTGATTCATGTGTTGTTTCATTGATTGGTGGTTATGCAATGTACTCCGCGATTCCGTTGAGTGATGGTCCTGAATCGTATCCTGGTTTGGATTTTGTTGAGTGATGGTCCGGAATCCTTCCTACTCCACTCCGTGATTCCGTTGAGTGATGATCCGGAATCGTATCTTGGTTTAGGTTCCGTTGAGTGATGGTCTGGAATCCCTCTTACTCCGTGATCCATTGAATGATGGTCCGGGATTGTATCCACCTTAGTTCATTGAGTTTAGTTTGAGATAGTTGCAAAGGTGTAGGCTTTGGATGAATTGTGTCGCCCTAATTCTACTTTCATTGTGTGTATGTGAATATGGATGTGAGATGTTATGGTTGTTTGAAATGAACTTTTGGATGTCTGGGTGACTCCCTCGGAGTTTTCAAAAGTTTGGTATTGATTTCTTATGAAAGATTTATATTCAAGGTTTATAAATTGTGATTGATGGTTGGTTTTATTATTGTATCACATGCTTATTTTATTGTCCTCACCCGAGCCTCTCAGCTTATCTGAGTGCCTAATTTGCCAGTGTACCAATTCCATAATATTGGCATTGACTTTACATATGACAGGTCTGGGACGCTTGATATTTTGGTTCCGTTGAGTGGTCCAGAACCCAATGTTGTTGGATTCCGTTGAGTGTTCCGGAATCCTTGCTCTTGTTCATTCCGTAAGGTGATCTTAGAATCCTAAATTTGAGTAGATGGGAATTACCCACAATAGATATTGTGAAAATAAATTAGAATTATGTAGAGTTCTTTAATTAAATTCATGAAATGATATGTTATCTCACTGATTGATTAACATAATTAAATATTAATATTGTGTTTCGTGATTCCTTGATATGTTACAAGCTATGTATTGAGATATAATGTTGGAAGCATAGTGATTTGTATGATGAAGTGAAATGTGATTTGACTTGTGTATTGTAAATGGTTATGACATGTGATTGAAATGCATATTGAATTGCTTGGGAGATGTAAGGTCTAGTAATTGACTGATAACCCATTGTGATGTGGATTTGTGCTCGATATTGCTTCGTTGCGTTGAGTTTTCGTGAATTGAGTAACTTGAATCATGTCTTGTTCCTTCGAGCCGTTGTTATGCTTCTTGGACTTCCGTTCAATTCTGTTGGGTGGTCTGGAACTGAGTTCTGCTTGGATTCCGTTAAGTGATGGTCCAGAATCCCCTTTGGTGCCTTGGTCCGTTGGGTGGTCCAAACTCCCCTTTTCCAAAGATGTAGTCTTCAACCGAATTGTGTTGCTCTAGCCTTGCGTTTCGACATGTTGTATGTGTTATTGATGATGTGATGGTTGACATTATTGATTGATGTGATTATGGAATGACGTTGGATATGAGTGTGGTTATCATGAGTATTTTAGTTGATTAATATTTCTAGAGAATAAGGTGTACTTTGTTAATTCTTAACTATGTTACACACTATAAAATGCGATTTTATGTGGGAACGTGATGAATTATTTGATGGATGAAGTGGAAATGTTAATCGTCATGTGAGATTGTTATGTTGGATATCGTTGTTATTGTTATGATTAGACTTGTTGATAAATGTGGCTAGAGAATGGTATTGTGCTTCGTTGGTTCTTTGAAATGATATATGTTGTGAATTGCGATATCATATTGCGACATAATGACCTATATATGGATGGAGGGGAAATCATGATTTTCAGGTGGGTTTGTTATGTAACCCTGAGTCGAGTAATTTCATGCTTGTCAAGTTTTATTGATTGATTGAGAAATGTTATGCCTTTCAACTTAATCGGATTGTGATATATGTGAATTATTGCGCATGACGAACTACGAATGGCTTGATCCTTGCTTAGGGTACGTAGGCAATCTAACGGGGAGGATAGATGCAGCCATAAGGCATACGAAAAATTTCTATGCGATTCGATTATTGAGTTGTGCTTTGCCCATATTCCGGAGGCGGTGTATGATGGATACGGATTTTTGGTGACGTCACGTGTCAATTCTGGACGTATGTCGGGATTGGGGCGTGACAGTCGAGGGTTGAGGTAGGGTGCCCTTAAACTTTTTTTTTTTTTTTTAATTGAGTGGGTCAGGGTTGAGGGAGGGAGAGGGTTGGATTTGCACATATGGGTGGAGGCCTAGAAGGAAGGGAGAAGGGAGGGACGGTCGGGTTGAGGAAGAATAACTTTTTTTTTCTTTTTTTCGTAATTTTGTAATTTTTAATTTTTAATATCCACGTGGGACCCTTAATGATACGTAGCGTCCAGTTATTGTCCACATGGGCGCCACGTTATCAGTTAATGGAAGACTTAACAGCCAAACTAATGGATGTATGAGACTGTTCCAAAATTAATACTTTAGGTATGACTTTAGGACGAAAAAAACTTCATGTACCAAATGTTAAAAACTACAAAATTTCAAAATAGTAATTTGATATTTACCCAAAAAAATATAGTCATCCCATATAAGTGATCTGCAAGTATTAACCATCTTTTATTCAACTCTCTCTCTCTCTCTAGTTTTCATCGGGTGTTTCGAAGCAAGTTCACCATTGGAAAGGTGGCTTCTCAGTCAGACATTCAAACTCTTAGACGTTGAGAAAAGGAAAAGCAAACATCATTACACCATATTATAATGGCATGTTGGTGTATCGACAATACTTTATAATATTAAAAAGTTCCCTGTATATGCTAGTTGCTCCATGTGACCTCACTTTTCTACTCTTCATTTGGACGTATCTGGAAAAATTGCATCTCCCCTTTTGCATCTGTTCCTTCCCTTCTAGATATATGTTTGATGTTCTTGACCGGACATCTTCAATTTCCCTTCTTTATTTTCTTTGAAAATCTAAGATGATGATGAAAGTAGGGCAACTACTTTTGCAGTTTCATGATCTAGGGTTTGGCTTCAAAGGCTTTGATTTTTCGTTTTCGTGAGCCTAAAAGAATTCAGTGCTAGCTAGCTTGGTTTCTTAGCTTGTGTCACATTTTTGAAAAAAAAAAAAAAAAAAATCAGCTATTGAGTATTCATAGCTAGCTTCTTCTTCAGTGGATTTATTAGGTTTGGAAAAAATTAATGTCAGGCGTCGATCCTGATCCTGATGCACCCACCAACACAAGTCCAGGTGCGCCATCCTCCCCCCCTCGCCGGCCTCGAGGCCGTCCTCCCGGCGCAAAGAACAAGCCCAAGCCGCCCCTCATAATCGCACAAGACACCCCAAATGCGCTCACATCTCACGTTCTTGAAGTTTCCTCCGGTTCAGACGTTGTTGAATCGGTGATGACCTACGCCACCCGCCGTGGCCGAGGCGTTTGCGTGCTGAGCGGAAGCGGTGCAGTGGCTAATGTCAACCTGCGCCAGCCAGCCGCATGCAGTACTACCTTTAGGAAGCAGTAGTACTGTGCTGACGATGCACGGTCGTTTTGAAATCCTATCTCTCACCGGCACGTGCCTGCCTCCACCGGCCCCATCTGAAACCAGTGGCTTGGCTCTATATCTGGCTGGTGGGCAAGGACAGGTTGTTGGAGGGAGTGTTGTAGGACCCTTGAGGGCTTCAGGGCCTGTGACGTTGATTGTGGCTTCTTTTGCTAATGCAGTGTATGATAGGTTGCCGCTGGAGGAGGAGGAGAAGGAGGCTCCACTGCCGCCATTGCAAGCGACGGCTTCGCAATCTTCGGGAGTGACGGGCAGCGGTAGCGGTGGGCAATGGGTACAATTTGGGGATGTTGAGAACTTTTCCTGGTGATGTATGTGGTTGGAATAGTGGGAGTAGTTAGAACTTAATGCTTCAGAAGGACTAGAATATGCATGGATTGTTCTTTAAAGAGTTCATCTAATCTGTAAGTCCGTGTTCAGACATTGTAAAATCCATCCAGCTGAAATTGTTCAATAAATTTCGGATCTTCTTTATTTTCCTAATTGTGTGATCGATTTATGGAAGCTTTGTTACATAATGCATATATAATGTGTCAACTGAACTACTTTTTCTTTCTAAAATCCAAGTAAGAATAACAGTTCCATCTGATTAATTTTTACAGAAAGTTGCAACATGGGTCCTTGAAGTTCGATCCTATTGTTCATGAACTTGTTAGAACATGGAGCAAATGATCTCTCTACGTTTTGTTAGAACTTACTGTCTCTTATATATTTGTCTTTAAACTTTTTTATTTTGTATGAAAATTTCTAAGGTGTTATGTAAAGGATTATTGCTCCAAAGTCTAAAAATAACTAATGGTTCAATTTCTTTAGTTTTTAACACTCATTGTTGTCGGTTTGGTGTGCTTATTTAGTCATTTCCTCTTCTAAAAGTTTGGCTAGAAACTTAGATAATTTTGAAAGTATATTGAATTAACGTCTCGGACAAGGTGGAACATTGAGACTTGAAATATTTCATGCATTGGTCTATTTTGTTTGACCTTTCAATCAACTAGCTAATTCAGTCAAGCTAGCTAGCCATAGAAGCAACTTCATTTCTGAGTCTGAAACTATCAGGATAACAAATAACCGTTTTGAATATTATATATCAATGAAACAGATACAGTGTAAGCGTCACAAATTAATCATTTGACTCTATATTATATTGTAAAATTAAAAAATCAGGTGGCACACTTAATAAATTTAGAACACTCCCACATTAGTTATGCCTCATATAGTTAAATCTCTCTTAGAATTTATGCACACTTCTTTTCTCTTTTTGTACCTCCACGTTTATTTGTTTTTTCTTTCATTCGATCAAAAGGTTAAAAATAAATACATGTGTGCTTTTATCATAAAACTAATTAGCAACATACGGAGTAGCTAAACTATTTATAATTAAGCATATACAGAATCTCTTCTTTCTCCAATGTGAAATTCACTCTCAACATTCACATCATAAAATAAACCAGGTTACTTAACAATTATATATTTTTACTGCTTCACGCAAGATTCTCATTCTCTGGTTTCACCAATCAGCGAAGCACCTTTTGTCATTTATTTGTACATTTTATTGTTGGCGAATTGGTGCAAGACACACATGCCTAAACCAAGCATTATTGTATGTATATATCAGTGTATAAATATTCATATATTAGGAGAATTCTCTTTGTTAATCAGAGGTCTGAAATGTTAATGGTAACTAAATAAACATATTACCAGTAACTTCTAACGTGTGGGTAGTTCTTGCAATACGATAATGCGTGTTATACATATGAATACGAGTGAAATATTGGTAACACGACGTGATGAGGTTCAACCTAAACATGAACGGAGGTTATATAACTATCATGTAAGACCTCAGCTGCTAGCTCCATCCTTTTCCCTCCACAAACACACTCCTCAAAACTCGTAACGCAATTCTCTAAAAACGGCATATCAGCATAGACTCGGTCCCTCTCTCTCTCAAACCATCTGTTCCTCCTAAGTTGTGGGAGGAAAAAACAACCCCCCTCCTCTTCTTCCTCTAGCAATAATAATGTCTCCTTCCATTTCTTTGGGCACACTTCTGCCTTTCCCAATTCAATGGAGTCACATTACATTACTATTTTCCTGAGAAACCATTTTGTTATTCTACATTGTATACAACGTTGATTGAAATCATAAATAGGGATCGAAGAATTTGGTAATCGAAAAAGAAAAAGAAGTAGAGAGATTGGTATTAGATAGACAATGGCAGCGTCCCTGAATAGAGAGCCATCGAAAAAGGCGATAAAAAGCCCTGGAGGTTCTGGTAGCTCTCAAGGCAAAGCTAATTCGAGTGGCCAAACTGTGAAGTTTGCACGAAGAACTTCGAGTGGACGGTATGTGAGTCTATCTAGAGAAGACCTTGATATGTCCGGAGAATTATCCGGGGACTATATGGACTACACAGTACAGATTCCTGCCACCCCAGATAACCAGCCCATGGACTCATCCGGGGCTGTGAAGGCGGAGGAGCAATATGTTTCTAACTCTTTATTTACCGGAGGGTTCAATAGTACGACGCGTGCACATCTCATGGATAAGGTGATTGATTCGGAGGTGACTCATCCTCAGATGGCTGGAGCCAAAGGCTCTGCATGTATGATACCTGCTTGTGATGGTAAGGTGATGAAGGATGAGAGAGGAGTTGATATAAACCCCTGTGATTGCAGGTATGAGCTACGATACTCTAATTAATTACTAGTTTGATTACTAACCTATTAAGATCTTAAGTTCTTCGGGTACTAAAGCGAAGCTCAGAAATCCAAAACAAATAATTTCAACTAGTACTTTTGGATAGGATTTCCGCTATTATTACAATCAAGGGAGCAGAAAACGTGAGTGCAGAAATCAGTTCCCTTTTGCACGAGGGCTAGTTTTCGCATTGTGTAATTTTAACAGTCTTAAACTTCTATGTTTTTTTTTATTGTGTTTGAATTTTGTTTTGTAGGTTCAAAATCTGTAGAGATTGCTATTTGGATGCACAGAAGAACACTGGCCTTTGTCCGGGTTGCAAGGAGCAATACAGAGTAGGAGACGAATTTGGTGATCCATCGGGTTACAACAATGGAACGCTGCAATTGCCTGGTGCTGACGGAAAAAGGGATAACATGTCTGCGATGAAGAGGAACCAAACCGGAGAACTTGATCACAATAGGTGGTTGTTTGAGAACAAGGGGACTTATGGTGATGGCAGTGCTTTTGATCCCCAAGATGACGGGTATGGTGATGGCGGTGGTGATGGCTTCGGAGGGGGCTTGCTGGATGCGGATGACAAGGCTTGGAAACCCCTCGGCAAGATATTGCCAATTGCTACTGCCATTATCACCCCCTACAGGTCAGTATATAAATTCTCTCTCAGTACTTACTTTGTACACGCTGCATTTGTTCACGCAAACAAAAAGTGTTATGAATTAATTGAACTTTCGCAACAGAACAAACTTCGCAAAAGTAAAAAAAAAAACATAAGAACATTGTTAGATGAAGTGATTATGTGTTCATATTGTATGATGATGCACTATAATTAAGATGACTTGACGAACAATTAATATATATTTTATGTTGATCTTCGTCTTGTAGGATACTGATCTTCGTTCGGTTAATCGTGCTAAGTTTGTTCCTGCATTGGAGAGTAGTCAATCCAAACAATGATGCAAGATGGCTGTGGCTCATGTCGATTATCTGCGAAATATGGTTCGCCTTCTCTTGGATTCTTGATCAGACTCCTAAATTTTTCCCCATTAATCGTCAGACCTATCTTGAAGTCCTCCACGACAAGTTTGACAGGCCATCACCATCCAATCCAACGGGCCGGTCTGACCTCCCTGGCACTGACTTCTTTGTATCTACTGCTGATCCTGACAAAGAGCCACCTCTCACCACTGCCAACACCATCCTTTCAATCCTAGCCATTGATTACCCGGTCGAAAAGCTAGCATGCTACGTCTCTGATGATGGAGGTGCCCTCCTCACCTTTGAGGCAATGGCGGAAGCTGCTAGTTTCGCAGACTTGTGGGTTCCCTTCTGCCGGAAACACAACATTGAGCCGAGGAACCCTGACAGTTACTTCGCGTTGAAAGTTGACCCGACAAAGAACAAGAGTAGGCTGGACTTTGTGAAGGATAGGAGGAAGATCAAGAGGGAGTATGATGAGTTCAAGGTGAGGATTAACGGTCTTCCGGTTTCGATCAGGAGGCGGTCTGATGCTTTCCATGCCAGGGAGGAAATGCAGCAGTTGAAACATATGAGGGAGAATGGAATTGACCCTTTGGAGCAAGTCAAAGTCCCCAAGGCTACCTGGATGGCTGATGGCACACATTGGCCTGGTGCTTGGTCTGTTCCTTCTAGTGACCATGCCAAAGGTGACCATTCAGGAATTCTTCAGGTAACATTAGCTCATCTCGTAGTTGAGTAAAACTACGTTTACCGATTACCTCTTAAATTCTCTATCATATAGCGCACAAGCACTAACCATTCAGTAAGTTTATACAACTCTAACCATTTGTTTGGGCGCACTCCTCCATTTGATCATGGCTTGAACAGTTCATTTTGTAGTTCTTCGTTCAAAGAAATTCAACCTAATCAAAAATTGTTTTCAAATGGCTAAACGATTTTCAATGAGAGTCAATTATTTGTTAGGATAATCTCATTGATGGCCTATGATTTGTCCAGCTCATGGGATTTTTGTGGAATGGACTCAAACGAATAGTTAGCATCATATTAACTTGCTAACTTGTTAGCGCTTTAGTGTGTTGATAAGCATGTGGCTAGTAAATATGGCAGAAACAATATTACTTGAACTTTGATGCTGCATTGTGCATAGGTGATGCTGAAGCCTCCTAGTCCTGACCCCTAATGGGAAGTGCCGATGATGACAAGCTCATAGATTTCACAGATGTGGATATACGCCTCCCAATGTTTGTCTACATGTCGCGAGAAAAGCGGCCTGGCTATGATCACAACAAGAAAGCCGGCGCCATGAATGCGCTGGTGAGAGCATCCGCCATCTTGTCAAACGGCCCTTTCATTCTCAACCTTGACTGTGATCACTACATCTACAACTGCAAAGCTGTCCGTGAAGGGATGTGCTTCATGATGGACAAAGGCGGTGAAAACATCTGCTACATTCAGTTTCCTCAGAGATTCGAAGGCATTGATCCCTCTGATCGCTATGCCAATCACAACACCGTGTTTTTCGATGGCAATATGCGTGCACTTGATGGTTTGCAGGTACCTTAATCTATTTGAAAAAATTTCCATGGTACGAACTCAGTGTGACATACGAACATTTTTTAAAGGTTTACTTCAGGGATATGGAAATTGGGAACAGTTAAAGATTTGCGCGTATGTCATACAAGTTCGTAACTTGGAGATTAAGTTACACACATTATATACATGCAACCAGTATGAATGAATCATGGGTTTGCAGGGTCCGATGTATGTGGGAACCGGGACCATGTTCCGGCGTTTTGCCTTGTACGGTTTTGATCCACCAAATCCTGATAAGTTGTCGGCGAAGAAGGATGATGAGGCACAAGGAGAGCCTTTGACACAGTCGAATACGCAACCTTTGACAGCCAGTGACTTCGACCCGGATCTTGACACCAATCTACTTCCCAAGCGTTTTGGAAATTCAACAATGCTGGCGGAATCCATACCCGTTGCTGAGTACCAAGGTCGCCCCGTAGCTGATCATCCTTCAGTGAAATTCGGACGGCCTCCTGGAGCTCTCAGAGTTCCTCGTGATCCGCTCAATGCCACTACTGTTGCTGAAGCTGTCTCTGCCATTTCTTGCTGGTGCGTATATAAATAAATAATTAGCAATATAATTAGCTGACAACATGATATGACAGTTGATGTATCAATACAAATATGATCGATCAAATAATTTAATCGAAGTACTAGCTCTGTACATTTGCATCAAATAACATTGTGACACAGGTACGAGGACAAGACCGAATGGGGAGACCGTGTGGGGTGGATTTACGGGTCAGTGACAGAAGATGTGGTGACTGGGTACAGAATGCACAATCGCGGATGGCGCTCGGTGTACTGCGTTACCAAGCGTGACGCATTTCGCGGTTCAGCTCCCATTAATCTTACTGATCGACTCCACCAAGTGCTCCGTTGGGCAACTGGCTCAGTCGAGATTTTTTTCTCCCGGAACAACGCCTTCCTTGCCTCAATGCGCCTCAAGTTACTACAACGTCTTGCCTACATCAATGTTGGCATCTACCCTTTCACCTCAATCTTTCTCATCGTGTACTGCTTCCTCCCTGCGCTTTCGCTCTTCAGTGGACAGTTCATTGTGGCGAATCTCAACATCACATTTTTGGTCTACTTGCTAACCATCACTATATGCCTCATAGCTTTGGCTATCCTGGAGGTGAAGTGGTCGGGGATCGCGTTGGAAGAGTGGTGGCGAAATGAGCAGTTTTGGCTGATTTCTGGAACCAGCGCTCACTTGGCTGCTGTGGTGCAAGGCCTTCTAAAAGTGATTGCAGGGATTGAAATTTCCTTTACCCTGACGGCCAAGTCAGCTGGAGAGGACAATGAAGATATATATGCTGACCTCTACCTTGTGAAGTGGACTTCCCTCATGATCCCTCCAATTGTGATTGCAATGGTGAACATAATCGCAATCGCAGTCGCGTTTTCGAGGGAGGTTTATGCTCTGAATCCTCAGTGGGCGAGGTTTATTGGCGGTGCCTTCTTCAGCTTTTGGGTTTTGGCTCACTTGTATCCTTTTGCCAAGGGTTTGATGGGAAGAAGAAGGAAGACCCCTACCATTGTGTTTGTTTGGTCGGGTCTCATTGCAATTACACTTTCCTTGCTCTGGGTCGCCATTAACCCACCCGCCGTTGTTGTCGTTGGTTAACCCCGCTGCAGGAGGCGGGTTCCAATTTCCGTGAGCGCTCGAACGACATAGCCCATGGGATTGGATTATAGAGTTTTAGGGTCAACACTGTATAAATATAAACTGGTAGAATTTACGGGTACCTTTCGTCCTCCGCCATTCGAGGGAGAAGGTTGTTTTGTTCTGTGATTGTACTGGATGGAGTCTGCATATCTTTCATTGAAGGAGTTATGCTGAAATCTGTAAACTGAATATTTTTTCTCTGTAAACATTCGCTGTCTGATCAAATCAATCCGCGTCATTCTGGTGTACAAGGCATGTAATGTCCGGATACAGGGGATATATGTAAGCGAAAGACAAGCATTATTTTCATGTCTAGTTCGTACCTCACTCGTCGTTTGAATTATCATGCAACGAGTGAGATCATAGCATATCTCACGCTACGAGTGAGATATGCTAATAGAAATCAAACATCATTTCATTCCTTTATGTATAAAATCAGAAGGTGATTCACTTGTAAGCTCTTAAGTTTATAACAGAAATTGAAAAGTCTAGATCAAAACTTAATAAAAGGAGACCCAAATCATTTGCATTTGAAAAATAGCGATCAAGAGTAGCACACATTTACACGAGTCTCGTCATTTTAACTAGAACTGCTGACAACAGTTCTTATTCGTTGGTCGATTGGATGCGTCCAACTGCATAGGCTTGAGCTCCAACTGTGAGTATGAACAAACCAAAAATACTCAGTATTCTATCTTCTGATGACTAACCGAAGATCTCTGTACGTCGGGGACAGAAAGGAAATTCATCCCTAGTTTAAAAATCTGACTGTTCAAATGGAACGCGCACAAACAACTGGCCATTCAAGGTCACTACCGCAGATGTCTGATGTGGATCGATTCTCGAAGGTAGGCTGACAACCTATAAAGAAAACCACTTTAATTATCCTGCAGGTATACTTTGATAAAGTGCCACACTACATAACAAAAGTTTGATTTGGACATGAAGGTGTGTGAATTTAACACTACCAGAAATCGACCTGATGCTTACGCTTAGGTATGGGACGCGGAGAACCTCTAGGGGGGTTGCCTCCCGAGTCCCGAAACAAAATGAAAAACAACAGCACTTTTTAAGGATCTTTTTTCCCTCCGTATCTAATAACTATCGTCAGTCAAAACCCAAAACATATTGGAGCACTATCAAGTTATCAACTGAACAGAAACAAAATGATACAACTGCAAGGGTAAAATATGCAAGAGTTCAGATGGGTTATCCTATTCTATAAGTCAATTCATCAATAATTAACATGAATCGTTAAGGCCCGTAAAATATGACTGTACAACTGGCTAAGTGGCTTAAACATACTGCAAAAATTGCAAAGAACCACACATGCAGGTAATATAGGGGGTCATATTGTAACTAGGTTTGGATTGGAGTGGACAAATCATAGAATTCAACATATGTTGAATTTTATGATTTATCCACTCCAATTAACTCCTAGTTACCAAACGATCTCAAAGTACCAAGTTATGCCAACCTTCTTAAAGGGTGCAACACCCCAAGGATTATCCAGTTGTGCTGGTTGGCCGGATATAATCAAGCGTCCGGCTGGGTCAGATTGAACATGCACCTGAATGATGAATCACAATCATTATTAACGACAAAAACACACAGAATATAACAAGCAGAATCAGAATATAATTTCTTGGAAACAATAAAAGCAGCATGCCTATTTGAAACCCATGGACAAGAACTACCGACCTTGACCTACAAAAACAAAGATGACAAGCTTATAAACAACAATGATCACAAAACTAGTTCATGAACTGACCTCCTCGCGCAGTAGCCCAGGAACTAAGGCATATACCTCAAAGCAGTCATTCTGTGTACAGTAAAGTTTCAGTTCTAATTAGAAATAATCCATATAATAAGTAGAAATATGTTTGTCCTAACAGTGAGATGAGAGGAACTTACAAATCTTTTCACATTAATCTTCACCCAATCTGCTGGAGGTCCAATATCAAATACCATTGTATCCCTTTTATAAACAAGGGGAAAACAAAAATGTTGAGTTGGAATAATAGTAAAGGCACTTTTTACTATTATGGGATGAAATCAACAGGGGACCGAGAGAAATTAGTACCGTGGTTTTATAGCTTTCATGTCAGCAACCTGGGACAGCAGAATCCATATAAGATGGTTTTTTCCGCTTTAGTAAACCTGCGTTAACTAACAATTTTTAAGATAGAGAAGATCATTATGGCTGCAAAAGTGTCAAAAATTAAACTCATCAGTCATCATACCAGAACTTTTAAGTTGCTTGTCACTTTTTGGCATGGTACTCAAGTGCTTATCCTAATACATGAACAAAAGAAACATCATAAGGGAGTGAAAATGGCAAAAAGAAAGGAAGAAAAACAAATAAATATAGAGCTTAAAATTTCTCCAGACCTTATTAGTTGTATCTCCAACCTCACCATTATTACCATGATGGCGGTGAGAGTGCCAACCCTGCATGGCACGAGCTGCAGCATCCCTCAGTGCCCTGCCTGATCCTAAAGTATGGCCACCATCAGCCTGTGTTCAAACCCAAGAGGATCATTTAACCAAGAAACAAAAGAACAAAAAAGAAAAAGAACCAAAATTTATTTAAGTCTAATTACCCGATTCTCAACTCTAGTTGGCTCTGCAGGAAGAGGAAGTTCACCACCATGAAGTCTATCCCTTTCAAATTCAAGTAATGCCTGTATAAAATGGTAATTAGGGGATCCAAAACCCACAGGTAAACAGACCAAAAACAAAGACGACAATAATAAAATAAAAACTCAAAACATCATAAGTAGAGAATAACCTTCTCATAAAAATTTCGGAAAGTCCAAGAAACGGTAGTTTACGTTCTGTGCACCATGAAAAAACAGCCATTAGAATGTAAGTTTATAAAAGAATGATAAACTCAAAACAAAGGGAAATTCTGTTTGGTGAGAGGGTGGAGGGGGTGATGTGTTTTGTAATTGTATACATAATAGCAACTTTGGGTATCTGCCACAAAATAAGTTGCCAGCCTGGGAAATCATTCAGATAGCTTAAAGAGAGGCATCAAGTAAAGAAAAACAATATTGCGTACTTTGGGGGATTGAATGATTCTCCAACCTGCCGCCACAACTTGCATGTAGTAACCTACATGTTCCCACAGAAACACTAAGCAGAGTAAACCAAATAGGGGAACTATGCAAGAAAAGTAATGTACATCATATCAAAGTTCACATTATCGGGATGTAGTTCTAAAGTACAATCAGTCCACCATAAGATAATCATTATGCAAGTGCGTCAGCCATCTTGCTTGCTTTCTTTTTCTTTCTTTTTCATAAGTTGTCATATTTGCATATAGAAACATATTGTTCACTTTAGGTAACTAAGTGTATACAAATACAAGAGAGGTCCGGTGAAGTAGGTATGCCACCAAATTTATTAATATAGTACCCCCCGGCATAGGAATTTGTGATAATCCATATATTTTTGGAAAAGTGTCTTATGCTATTTGACCAATATGGGAATTCAGGGATTCTTTCTCAATTGGGCATATCACTACCTAATCTACAAATCCTTATCAAAAACCAAGGCCTCTAAAATAACAAATGATATTCAGGATTCAGAGATAAACAAACCCACACAAACCTTGTCATAGCCACCAAGTTTGATCACAGCTCTCCATAACCTGATTTTAAGAAGAAACAACAAAGTTAACATTGAACCAAAACGTTTTCAAACTAATTAATTTATGCAAACTCAACAGAGATTTACTTGAGCAAATTTAATTCCTCTTTGTAGAACTTTGGGGCTTTGAATTCTAAATTCTTCTCTTTATATAAACTCTCAACCTCCTTCATGAATGATGTTTGCTCCTCCTCAGTCCCCGACTCACCACCCTCATCAGCACCTGGATCCAAGAGGAAGGTTTTCTTTGGTTCTAAGCTCTTCATCCCAACCTTACGTCCAACATAAAACTTGGGTTTGTGCAGTTGCTCGTTTATGTCGGTGTGAAAAGAAAACTTTGTTTTGTTGCTCACCCCACCATTCAGTACCTCTAGTTTCTCACCATCATCATCAGATTCAGTCTCCATTTCGACTTCATTATCACGATGCATATCAGGCTCCACCATTACTAACAACATTATCAGTTTCAGCACTGATATGGGGTTGATTGGAGGGGCTGGCCTTGATGTTCAACCCACCTATCAGTGTCTGCATAGCAACCCCACTATCATGAGGCATTGTATCAGTTTCCATCTTACCAACAGAATTATCAGCTTCAGCACTGATGTGCAGTTCACTGGAGGGGTTGCCCTTGCTGCTCACCTTATTTGTCAGTTTTTCGATTGCAAGCTCACCATCACAAGGCATATCAGGCTCCACCTTACGAGCTGCATTATCAGCTTCAGCACTGATATTTGGTTCACCAAAGGGTTTGGCTTCAATGCTCACCTCATCCATCAGTTTCTCTGTTGTAGCCCCATTATCATGAGACATATCGAGCTCCACCATTCCAACAACATTTTCATAATCAACACTACTGTCTAGTTCATTGGAGGATTTCGCCTTGTTGTTCACCCGATCTATTAGTATTTCCATTGCAAGCTCACTATCATGAGGCATACCAGGCTCCACCTTACAAGCACTGCTATCTGGCTCATTGGAGGATTTGGCCTCGTTGCTCTCCCCGTCTACTGGTTTCTCTGTTGCAACCTCACTATCACGAGGCATAACAGGCTCCACCTTAGAAACAATATTATCAGTTTCATCACCGATATAGATTTCACTGGAGGGGTTGGCCTCACTGCTCGCCCCATCTGTCAATTTCTCCACTGCAACCTCACCATTATGAGGCATATCAAGCTCCATCTCACAAGCAACATCATCAGTTTTAGCACCAATATCTGGTTCATTGGAAGGGTTGGCCTCGCCGCTCACCCCATCCTTCAGTGCCTTTTCTTCTCCAACACCATCATCTTCCTTTTCAAACTCCATGGGGTCCATAGTGTGATGGGATCCACCATCACCGACAAGACTCTCAGCCTCGGCACAGGGCACCCAATTCAATAGACGGGTCAACTTTGCTGCCTAAATCATCCTTCAGCGCCTTCCCTTTCTCACCACCACTCTCCTCACTTGCAATCTTCACAGAAACCTCACTCTCACCATGCACACCAGAATCCACATAACTCACAACCTTATCAGTTTCAGTACCAGAACCCGGCTCACTGGACATCTCGTCGGCAACATTAGCATCTTCAGGAATTTCGGGACAGCGGAAACCGGATCAACTGCACCCCGGATTTCCTCACCAGGCAATTCAACTCCATTTTCGTCAAGGCTCTTCTGGGTCTCCATTTCTACACCATCTAATGTATTGGTGTTTGGTTCTTCTCCCCCTTCAAGCTGTTCACGAACATGGGTATCTGCCACCCCTTTGAATTCCTCATCCTCCACAATTTTCCCCACCTCTTTCTCTACACCCGCCATTTTTTCCCTCCCTCTTCCTTTCCTTCTTCAAACATTCAAACAAAAACACAAAAAATAACAATAAAAATCCACACTTTAACAAAATCCAACCTAATAAATACTCGGAAACAAAGGAAAGCACGGATTTTGAAGACATGAAAACAAACAGAAACTGGGAATGTTTTGAAAAACAACAAAAACGAGAAGCATATGCGTATATATAGTGGTTTAACCTCTGCTTGTATCAAAACGAGGAGGGAGAAAAACAACTTGAAACGACGTGGAGAGAGGCTTACCCAGCTACCGTTTTGGGGCACGGAGGAGATGGTGAAGTGGCGGTGGGTGAGGGAGTTGTGCTTTCCGCCTCTGCTGGTCTGCTATTGATCTGTTGCTTCTGCTGCTCTCGTTGCAATGGTTTTTCCATTTTTAGGACTTTTTTTTAGTGTCGTCTCTTCGAGATGAGTAATTCTTTGCCTACGATAAGCTTTCACCATTTCACTTGTCACTCGCTCTAAAATTAGAGATTGGCTAAAATATTTATTCGTATTTAATATTTAAATTACCTATTAAAAAAAAAAGGAATTTGTCTATTAAAAAATGATGACGATAATTTGAACTTTTATCGCAAATTAAATTATGAGTGGTAATATAATTTTACAAAAATTAAATTTTTTTATTTTCCAAACTTCTCTCTTTTCCATATATCTTTTCTTTTTATAATTATAATTCTAACATCTTTGTATCTAGCATGTATTTAATAATTTATTAAATATATGAGTCAATTTACTAAAGGTAATCTGTTTTGAATAAAGAAAAACTAATGAAAATAATTTGAAAACTTTGAGTTTTAACGATAATGACAAAATAAAGGATAAAGTGAATAGTATCAGGATTGACTTTTTAGTGTAAAAATGTGATTTTTCATTAAAGTGAACAATACCGTGAGCTTTTCGTTAAAACTCCCTTTGAATAATGTAGTTATTTCAACTTGTGGAGCTTTACTTCAGTGGCAAAAAGTAATAATGTATATGCACTTTAATGTGGATTTGATCATACCAAACTCTCCCCCCTAATAACTAACAATTTAATCTACTATCGCTTGACAGAAGAAAATTAATGTATTACTTAATTTTAGCCCTTGATATGGTGAGGGTGTATTATTTATGTAGGGTGGGTACTTTAGGTTAGGTGATTGTGTGTTGGTTGAATTTTTCTATGCATTTAAGAGTCTTTTAAGTTCGATAAGATTTTGATAATGAATTTTATAGTAGATCTATTATGTGATTGGGATGTACCAATATCTTTTTTATAAACTTGGGTAATGTGATGAGATATAGATAGAGACATACAATATATATATATATATTCATAGGTTATTGTTGTCCTCAAATTTTGTCATTTCTAAAAATGTGGCAAAAGTGACGAGGACGTATTTGTATCTTTCTTATAACATGAGTCACGTGATGTGAGAGAGAGATAAAGGCAAAAAAATATACTCATAGATTGTGATTGTGCCTCAAATTTGAAGAATAAATTTTGTCATTTGTTTTCTTTATAATCTGCCTAAATTAGAATATGTCATATTACTTTTTTTGACACATGTCGTTTTGTTTTCAGTTATCACAATTCGATACCAGGTTGTTTGTTTTTTTATTCCTTTTATTTTTGAACCTTTTGTTTGTGAGTAAAATAAGAAATATATGTATCTTCAAAAGAGTCCACAAAGCTTGTTTTTGTGAAATTTAAAGTGTAATATATGATTTCTTTACTTCACAAAGTTGATAAACCCAATCCACCAATGTAGAACTTTTGCTCACTCTCTAAATTTGGAGACTTTTTATCCCACTCCACAAACTTTTTTTTTTCTTTTTCCAGTCATTAAATGTTGTCTTTGTCAACTTTCATTTCCTAAAAGAGTAGTTTCCTTTAGATTTAGAAAATAATAAAATACTAAGAATCTGTTTGATATTATACTTGAATTCAACTTTTTAAACTCAAAAACAATTTTCAAGTTTTAGGCTTTAAAAACTTGTTTGGGAGGACTATTTTAAAAAACTGAACTCAAGATTAACTAAAAAATATAATATATTCTCTAAAAACATAAAAAGTGAGTTTTTAGAGTTTTTAAACTTAAACTCACTCATTTTTTTTCTCTCCCTCCCCCCTCACTCCAAATCTATCTCTCTTTTCTTCTTCTCTCCTCTGTTTTTTTTTTTTTTTTTTTTGACCTTTTTCGTCTCTCCTCTAATCCACTCTTTTCATTCCTTCGATTCTTTCTTACACTCATCTTCCTCTCTATCTCGTCCGATCCTCTCTTCTTTTTTTTTCTTTCCTTCAACCATCTCTTATTTTCTTTCCTCATCTCTCATCTTTCTCCCTCTCCTGCAACCCCCTATTTTTAGATCTCTTTGTCTAGTTTAAATCGCAAACCAATCAAGTTTTTTAGTCTTAAAAAAAAAATTCAAGAAATGTTCTTAAGAAATGTTTTGAAAAATGATAAAAAATTTCAAATAGGATATCAAACAAGCCCTAAAATTTTGTGAAATTTATTAGTGCGTAATTATGACGTAGTAAATTTTATTCTTCAAATTGTCACCTAGGTCAACCAACTTGTATTTAAAGAATTATGTTTACAGAAACTGTTGGAGATTAGACGGAAAAACTTCTCTTACCACCACAACAACTAAATTAATATAAGGACATTCCAGACGGTCACATCAATGTAAACCATCTATTAAGTGGCCTAAAATAGTAGTTTCCGTTTCCTATCCACTAATCAATTGTGTAACACTTCTGTTTTCAACTCTATGTAACGTACCCTATAATTCGCATGTGGGTACGTTTGGAACGGATTTTGCGAGGGCCACGATCATACATAGGGAAGAAACACATGAGAAGTGTTTCAACATAAAATTACCATGAAAAACACTTGAGGTGATTTTATATAGAAACGTTTTGCATCTGTTGCAAAAAAATATAAGAGGTTCTTTGGTTTATAAACATGAAAATACAATTTTACAATTTTAACCGTAATGAACTTTTAGGTCAAATTTGTTAATAATCTTCACCACACGGATTTAATTCCTAATTTTTTTTTACCATAAAGTTATATTGCAAGTACTGTGACAGCCCGTTCCGGATTTTCGAACCGTAGGAGTGAAATGACGATTTTACCCCTAGCATGTTGGTTTCGTTGTGTGGTTGTTTTGGGTTTTGTTTGGCTGGTTCTGGACCACACACACCTTCCCACATTCCCTCACCCCTTTCCCTGTCCCGTACCCTATCCCTTTCTCTCTCTCTCTCTCCCATTTCTATCCCCACATGTACGAACACAACCAAAACCATCCAAATCTTCACAGATCGAGGAAACAAATTACATATTCGTGCTCGTGAGGTCCGTAGGAGTTCAACCATACCCATTTCAGGTAAGGATACCTTCGTTTTCACGTCAAACTCGGGATACCCCGATTTGGTCACTGTTCATGCACACGTTAATTCTTGTGTTTTTGGGAATTTCAAGCTTGTAGGAAGCTTGGTGAGGTACTTAGGAGGCTCGGGGTGGTTCGTTTGAAGGTTTTGGACGTCGGGATCGTGAGTTACAAGGTTGGCCGGAGTTGGTGGTGTTTTCCCGGCGAGATTCCGTGTGTTTTAGTGCTTGAAAGTGGTATGGATTTGTTCCTCTTATTGTAAGCTTCATTTTGGTACCAATTTTGTGAAATTTGGTTTAAAAACGAGTGAGATACAAGGTTTTAAAGTTTTCCCCATTTTTCGGCGGCGGCGACGGCGCCGGAGCTTCGCCGGAGAAGATGACAGAATATTCCTGACGGCGTTAACTGACGCCGTCAGTGTGCCAGACACGTGCCAGCACGTGGGCGGCACGTATGGCCGTGCCTTGGCCACCGCGTGCGGCGGTGGAAAATTTTTCTAAAAATATGGCGATGTTCCTGAGGTTGAGTAGATCACGTTGGTGTATTCATACACCCCATTTGAGCATTGCATGAGAAGTTATTTCGTATGTTGGTTATGTGTTTTAAAATTAACGTTTTTATAGTTGTTTCGCATATAGGTGTGATCTATCCCGAGAACGAGCGCGGTCACTCGAGGCAAGGGGGTTACGACCCTTCTGCATACCAGTGAGTGGGCTTTTGGTTTTTCGTATATACCCATATACTTATGCTTTTCCCAGAAAATGAATTGAAATGTTTATACGTTTTTATGCCATGCAATATGTTTGCCGTATGTTTATGCATTGTTAGTAGCCTATGTATATATGTATGTTGGTGCTGCGGGCGCACAGGTAAGTGCCAGGTGAATATGGTTTATGCTTATATTCAATAGTGGTTTGAGATGCATAGAGAGCTCATAACCTGCACCCCCGGTGTTAGTGCTCCCGCCCAGAGTTGGGCACAGTCCTTCACGTGATGTTCACCTCCCGCACCACACGCTCGTCTTGGATCCAAGTTAAGTGCACAGTCCTGTCGTATAGACCACTTTAGGTGGTTCCGACTTGTAAGTGACCCGCGATTAGTCGCCCAGCCTTCACGTGATCGTAGCACTTGAGCGTACTATTTATACACCCAGTCCTGTCGTACAGACCACTCTAGGTGGTTCCGACTCGTGTGCAGGTACAGTTAGTGAGATGGAGATTTGAGCTCTAGATTCAGCCATACATGTCACGTTAGGTGACTCCGGCTGACATATTCATGGCATTGATTTTGACATTTTCCTGAGCGCTTGCATTTATTCGAGGCATTTGGCATGGCATATTTCTGAGCATGACTTATATATATATGTATATGTATATTCTACTTTTCTGGGAAGTATACAGGTTTTACGGCGAGGGGTTAGAACTTGTTTATGAATTGGTTTTCGAAAAGCTTTGTTTTTGCCCACTCACACTTTTTGTTTTGCGCCCCTCCAGGTTCTAGTTGGCTAGCACTTTTGGTGGCTCCCCAGAGGATTTCCTTGGCATATTTGACAGATTATCACCAATGTAGGACCACCTTTAGGTGTGTTTTTGTAGTGTTATTTCTTCCGGACTGCATTAGGTCTTCGAACTCTGAACTTTGTTTTTCACACTTACGCTTGCACATGTATGTTCTTACTTTGTGTAAAGCTGGTTTTTATTTATTCTTACTTTTATTATTATTTTATTAGCTTCCGCACTGTGCACATGGTTACGTCACTTCCACGTGACAGCCAGCATGCCCTGATCTCGATCGGGGTGTGTCAAGTACCCTATGACCATGAGAATGATTAATCCAATCTAGCCAATCATTTTAAATCCAACGCAAAGATAAAATAATACCATCCTCTAGCAACATGTGTACGCATGTGGCAATTTGAATTTTTTTAATCTGAAAATTAATTTTTATTTCAGTTTTACATCTAATTACATTTTAATAAAAAAAAAATTTAAATACAAAGGAAGAATAATTAATCACCCACAATGTGGGTTTGAAGATCCATTTTTGTCCTTATCTTGTTCTAGCAGTTGTTCGTTGTTCTTCTCTATCAAGAGAAGGTGTTTTAGAGATATTTTCACCATTTTGGTATGCTCCCTATATATATATATAAAGTGATCAGTCAAAAAGAGCGAAGCTTTTTTATTTTTACAAACGATATTATCTACACTAAGGGAGAGGGGTAGGCTTAGCCTCATAATGGGCTTGCAATAATGTGATTCAAATTCGCATTTGACGAAAATCGAACCCAAGACCTCTCACTTACAAATGAAGAGGAATAACACTAGATCATAGTACTAGATGACAAAAGAATGAAACTCTCGCTTAGTAGGGCAGAACAATGAACAACTATCTAAGCAAAATAGAGACAAAATCATAAAATTACATGTTTTAAATGAATTTCAAATCCGCCTTGTAGGATGCTAATTATTATTATTTTAAATTTTTTTATTAAAAAATAGGGTTAATCTCAGTTTACCACCTGAAGTTTCTTGGGTTTCAACATTTGGTACATCAAGTTTTTTTCATCCCAGAGTGCTACCTGAAGTCATAATTTTGGGATAGTTTCATACATCCGTTAAGGTTATTGTTAAATCAGCCGTTAACTAGTGATGTGGTACCCACGTGGATAATAACTGGACGTCACGTGTCAATATGGGCCAACGTAGATATTAAAAATAATAATAAATAAATAAAAAACAAAAAATAATACAAACTAAAAAAAAAAAATTAAAAAACCCATCCTTCTTCTACCTCACACCCCTACCCCCTATCCCACCCCAACCCTCCCTCCCTTCTCTCTCAATGGCTAATGCTGGTTCACCTTCTACCGACCCCGACAACCCGATTAGCTCCCCCAGATTTGAACTTTCTATCTTTCTCTCTCCTCTATCTCAGTTTCTTTCTCTATCTTCCAAGGCCGAATCGCGAATGTGCAGTGTGTTTCCGGATCTGGAGATGTGGAGTGTGTTGCCGGATTGGAGCTGACGCCCTAAACCCCTCCCTGGCCCTCCTTACCGCCACCCAATGCAGATAGCAGAGTGAGAACACCCTTCATGTGAAAGGCTGCCGATTTGTCGCGGAGGAAACGATAGCCAAGGACGCCACTGGTGGTTTCTGAGGACTGCCACAACGATTGTGATTCGTCTTCATCGATGGTAGCGGACGATGGGGATTTCGTCGCGTCATCATCGTTTCACAAGGCCCCGCTGCCATTCGATCTAAATTTCCCACCGTTGGATGTGGATGGAGAGTTGGGCAATGGGATGGATGCCGGTGCCAGCAGTGGAGAAAGAAGGGAATGAGAGTTGGGTGGGCGCAGAGGATAGACGGGAGGGAGGGTTAGGTGGGATGGGGGGTGTGAGATAGGAGAATGATGGGTTTTTCAATTTTTTTTTTAATTTTTTAAATTATATTTTAATTTTTTAAATTGTTTAGTATTTATGTGGGTCCGTATTGACACGTGTCGTCCAATCATTGTCCACATGGACGCCACATCACCAGTTAATGATTGATTTAACAACCTTAACAGATGTATAAAACTGTCCCAAAATTATGACTTCAGGTACCACTATGGGACCAAAAAAATTTGATGTACCAAATGTTGAAAACCAAGAAACTTCAAGATAGTAAACTGAAATTAATCTTAAAAAATATGTAATTGAGATGTAAAATAGAAATAAAACGATTTTCAAAAGATGGTGTTATCCACGTACTCCTTCTCAATTTCTAATCGTCATATCAAATGACTTGAAGATGGTTAACATATCTCTACTAATTAATAAAATACTCATTGTCAACCAAAATTCTATGAAATTACTAGTTTAACCCTCTGATTAAAACAATACATGAATAAGAAATATAGGGTAGAAATGTAATTTCACACAATCAAATTTTGCTATTTTTTTTTTCAAAGTCTCAGCTACATGTAATTCTAACATATCTTTAAATAAATAAATAAATAAAAATAAAAAATAAAAAATAAAAAATTCTCACTCCCACATTCTTTATCACTCTCTTCCTCTTTCTCCTTCCATTTCGAAAACAAAAATAAAAAATTTTCTCACACATTTTATGTATGCCCATATGCTAGTAAAAATTAATAGAAGTGTATGGACGGTGAGAAAAATGTGTGAACACTATTATTTTAAATTAAGAAAAAATTCCAATTGCACGTGTATATAGAAATTTCTAAAAAATATTATAATGATCATCAAATAATCTAACGGTACATAAGCGTTCACGCAACTGAAGGATGACCTAGTTGATCGAAACCCCAGGAACTGGGTAAGAATAGTATACGAACAGCCTACCCACCCATCTCAAGCTCCCGTCCCTCTTTCGCCTTCACTATCTCTCCCAAATTTTTAATCATTTTTTCCCAAAATTTTCCTTCAATTCAATCAATTTGAATCCAAAACCCTAAACCCAATCACCAATTCCACTCAAATTTGAACCGGATTCTAGGGTTTCTCTGCCATTCTGAAAACCCTAATTAAAACTTGCCATTTTTGTCTCTCACTCCATTGGCCAGAGCTAAAGGTTGAATATTGCTGAAGATCCACCAGAGCTCACTTTCTCAGCAGTACACGACTATGTGAAAGTCTCACTCTTTCAGGGTCAGTTTTTTTTTTTTTCATAGATTTTTGCATATTTGTTAGAATTTACATTGAAATTTCATTTTTTTTCCCGCTAAAATTGTAGAGGAACTGAGACTTATTTGAACCTATTTATGTATCAGTGATTTTATTTATGCGTAAATATATTTACGTACATAATACCCATTTTATAATTGCACAGAATACAGCACTGTCAGTGTGAGGTTGGGGACTTGAGATCATTCTATTGGAATTGATCTGAAACAGTTTGAAACTTTGACATGGATAACGAGGTGATTGAATTTGATATTGGGTTGGGAGGAGGGGGAGGCCGAGATGGGGACGATGATTTTGTAGACATTGAGCATCCTGTTGATGATGAGGAAATGGTTGATAGTCCTCTTATGGGAAGTGCCACTGGTAGTGGGAGTGGTATTGTTTTCGGTGGTGGAGGGAGTGGTGAAATTTACTTGCCTGAGGGGGATCTCTTGGACCTTGAGCCATATGATGGCATGGAATTTGAGTCTGAAGAGGCTGCCAAGGCCTTTTACAATTCGTATGCACGGCGTGTTGGGTTCAGTACTCGTGTCAGCTCCTCACGTCGTTCCAGGCGCGATGGAGCAATCATACAGAGGCAGTTTGTTTGTGCTAAAGAGGGTTTCCGGAATTTGAATGAGAAGCGCACCAAGGATAGGGAGATTAAGCGCCCTCGGACTGTCACTAGGGTAGGGTGCAAAGCATCCTTTTCTGTGAAGATGCAAGATTCGGGAAGATGGGTGGTGTCTGGTTTTGTTAAAGAGCATAATCATGAGTTGGTTCCGCCTGATCAGGTGCATTGTCTTCGTTCTCACAGGCAAATATCCGGTCCTGCTAAGACTTTGATTGATACCTTGCAGGCTGCTGGAATGGGCCCCAGGAGGATTATGTCAGCGCTGATTAAGGAATATGGTGGGATAAGCAAAGTCGGATTTACAGAGGTGGACTGTAGGAATTACATGAGGAATAATCGCCAGAAGAGCTTAGATGGGGACATTCAGATGCTTTTGGATTACTTGAGACAAATGCAAGCTGATAACCAGAACTTTTTCTATGCCGTGCAGGGCGATGGCGATAAGTCCATGGGAAATGTCATTTGGGCTGATCCAAAGGCAAGGATCAACTATAGTTACTTCGGTGATACTGTTACTTTTGACACTACCTACAGGTCTAACAGGTACCGCTTGCCCTTTGCACCTTTTACAGGGGTGAACCATCATGGACAGCCTATTTTGTTTGGTTGTGCCTTTCTGATAAATGAATCTGAAGCATCATTCGTTTGGCTGTTCAAAACATGGCTTATGGCAATGTCAGGCCGCCCCCCAGTGTCAATTACCACTGATCATGATCCCGTGATACAGTCAGCCATCAAGCAGGTTTTCCCACAGACCCGGCACCGTTTCTGCAAATGGCACGTCTTTAAGAAATGCCAGGAGAAGCTATCCCATGTGTTTCTTAAACATCCAACTTTTGAAGCAGACTTTCACAAGTGTGTTAATTTGACTGAGTCCATAGAAGAATTTGAGTCTTACTGGTTGTCTCTTGTTGATAAATACAGTCTCAGAGATCATGAATGGATTCAAATGGTATACTCCGCTCGCAGGCAGTGGGTCCCTGTTTATCTGCGGGACACTTTTTTTGCAGAAATGTCCATTACCCAAAGAAGTGACAGTATGAACTCATATTTTGATGGATATGTGAATGCTTCAACAAATTTGAGCCAATTCTTTAAGCTTTATGAGAAAGCTCTAGAGAGTCGAAATGAGAAGGAAGTGAAAGCAGACTTTGAAACTATGAACACTGCCCCAGTTTTGAAAACCCCATCTCCAATGGAAAAGCAAGCATCCGAGCTTTACACAAAAAAGATATTTATGAGGTTTCAAGAGGAGCTAGTTGGAACGCTAACTTTCACGGCATCTAAGGGTGATGATGATGGGGAGATCATCACATATCAAGTAGCAAAGTTTGGGGAAGACCATAAAGCATATTATGTTAAGCTTAATGTTTTGGAGATGATGGCAACTTGTAGTTGCCAGATGTTTGAGTTTTCAGGTCTTCTTTGCAGACATGTATTGGCAGTCTTTAGAGTGACCAATGTGCTGACGCTCCCATCCCATTACATATTGAAACGATGGACTAGAAATGCCAAGAGCAGCGTCATGTTAGAAGAACGTTCTAGTGATGTATATACCAATTATCTAGAATCTCATACTGTGCGATACAATACCCTACGTCATGAGGCTTTTAAATTTGTAGATGGAGCAAGGTCTTCAGAAACTTATGACATCGCAGTAGAAGCTTTGAAAGAAGCTGCAAAAAAAGTAGCTCATGCCATAAAGAATGAGGGGAAAGCCATGCTCAATGGGCATGTCAGGGGGAGTTTGGCTGGTGGAGCAAGTCGGGCAGCACATTGTGCTAGTGGGGATTATGAAGGAAGCTCTGGACAACATTTGTCTGAGGTCAGAGCTATTTCCCGATTTTCTTTATTTGATTACTTTTATTAAGGCCTTAGCCTTATATTTTTACCTTTGATGGAGTGTTCTGTGTTGACAGAGTCTTTCTTTGCTGATAGTTTGACTAATGGAATGCTATTTGGACTGTTTGCATATGTGATCTGTTCAAGCCTGCTGTAACTTTGTTCTAATGGATGTTATTGTGCAGGATGACATGGACAAAAAAATCCGAGAACTTACGAACGAGCTGGAGTGCGCAAAGCGGAAATGTGAAGTTTACCGGGCTAACCTGCGTTCAGTTTTGAAAGATATAGAGGATCATAAGTTACAGTTGTCAATTAAAGTACAAAACATTAAAATTGGCATGAAAGACGGCCTAATCCTATAAAGGTGCAATATAGTCTCATGTACTTATCTTTTATTTTGATTGTTTTTTAGTCAGTGTACTTTCACAATGTTTTTTGGATAAGGCTGTTCCTTCACTTATGGATGCTGTAGAAATTGGAAGTCTGAAAGTTGTGCTATGTTTCCACAAATTTTGTAGATGCATATGCTATGAATTTATAGTTGTAGGATTCGAACTCTATGCAGGTAGTTGTCCTTGCGTCTGACATAAGATCAATCGGAAAATAAGCTCCACTTATGTGGAAATTGGCAGGGTCCATATTGTAGATTATGGATCTTGGCTGTGGATTTGACTCGTGACAGGCTTGATACCTCACATGTAAATCTTATATTGGCTGATTCATTAGACTTGTTTTCTTTTCATTATCAGTTAATAGTTATGTCATTTTAAACCGATTTATATTGTTTCTGACATTTTATGGGGTGTGATTCTTGTGATCTCCAAGTCAGCAATGGTAACTTTGTAGGAGGAAAAATCGTTGTGTGAATGGTTGCACAAGAAGACAGACATCAGAGCTGAAAGGTTCATCAGGGTATGGAAATGCTTTGGTAGCTTTTTTCTCTTTGTGTTTGTGTGTACTCTCTCATTTGTCTATTGGTTGCAGTCGAAGGTAATAATCAGATGTTATTTTCTGTGCCCGTCGAATAACACCTTCAATTTTAAGTTTTCATATAAGCTTGTAGGGAAATTCATCCTTGAATTGACAAGTCATCTTCTACTCATCCTTGCAAATTGGCTGAACAGAATCCATTGACTGCAGTTTCTGTTAGAAAGGTTAATGCATTTTCATTGGAGTATATATGTACAAACAGTTTGTTTACTATTCGTGCTTGGATCGATCTTTAGGCTTTTGTTGTCCCGTTTTGCTTCGGTAGTGATTTACATGTGTATACAGTTTCGCTCGTTAAGCTCATTTGGAGTTTGCTGATTATCTGGTATTGTGCCGATTGTCAGTTATCACCTTGCTTTCGCATTGAGAGCAATACGGTGCAGTATGACACCGAAACTGAAAGCTTGAGTTTGGGTGGCTGGGAAAGTGAGGATGGAATGTTATGTTCTTCCGAGCCTTTTTTCGGAGTGAGTTTTATTTTGCAATGTGATAATCAGTATTCTTGTGTTTTGTATACACTTGTAGGATCTGAATTTCTCGAGTAGAGTTCAATCAACTGAAAGAACAAATTGAAGAAATGAAAAGAGTCGACCGTGCTGGAGTTGAGATGCTTTCAAGAAATCAAAATATGAGGATGATGATTTTCCCCTCTCTAAAAACAACCAAGTGTTGAAGAGTTTTAGCTACTCCAACCGAGTTCGAGCACTGTTGGAGGAGCCTCGAGGGGGTTCGAACAATGTTCGATGAGAGAACTTTTGGTAAAGGTGTTATTTGGTCGGGCAAGTGGGGTAAGTTACTAAAAAGTTGTCACGTTGATACGAATGGTGTCGGATGAAGGAGGTTTGAGAGAGAGAGAGGTGCCCGGAAAGTGACCCACTTTCCACGCTGGAGTTTTTCGAAGAAGGAACTTGTAGATCCTATGTAGTCATCCGACCTACGTGTTCGCATGATCACAAACACAAAAGTAAGGACCTCTAGTATTTTGTATTACCCATTGACGCATCCCAACCTCCAGATGGTACACACCTAAAAGGTGATGAAGTTATTTTATGCATGATGACTCGAGAGACAAAATATTACAGGTTAATTCTTAAAAAAATATAAATAAAATAAGAACGCAAATTTCTATTGGGAATTCGACATAACCTTCCCGGTTTTAATACAAATTACCTTATTTTATCCTGCAAGAAAATAACAAATCGTGGTCGAATGTGTTCCCCGAGCCCACCTATGGCTCCAGCCACGGTGGTACAGTTTAGGTCGTGCCGCGTGGACGAGTTCAGCCCCAAGATGGGGCAATGGATAGATTCTTGCTGAATCTTCTTTGTGAAAATTCTATGAATTTTCAAATTATATCTGTTCATTGTATATTCTGCAATGAGAAATTATTGTAAATTTTTTATTTAAAATTGAATATAAACAGTATCTGAAGAAAAATTGCCACACAATGTACGATGAACAGATGTGATTGGAGGATTTCCGAGATCCTCACAAAGAGGATCCGGCAAGGATCCTTTCTCCAATGGATACTCATGAATACTCCATCACCACCACCACCACCGCCGCAATTAACACATAACTAACTACTAATGGTTACTCATGGAGGCTAAATGAGCTTTATATTGAGAAAATGGGTGAAAGTCTTTAATATATATATATATATATATATATATATATATATATATATAGTCGGACTTATAATTTATTTACTAATAAAAAATAATATTATTATATCGTAATAGTAAGTGATGTAATTATTAATGTTGGCTATTCATGCTTGGACATTATATTTGGAAGAGGTGTTTACCCGTTATTGATCGAAGTTATTTTTTATTTGATTGTACTGGAAATGACTGTATTAGATACTCATCTCTTTAATTAAAAAAAAATTCCAATAAAAAATTTCATGAAAAATAAAAGGAAAATTTTATTTGAATCCATGTAACCTCTTTCTACACTCAACTTATTCTTTAAACCCTTATTATTTTTAATTAAAGAATTAATATCTCTTTAAACAAAAATTTATTACCTAAATTACCCTCCCAAACCCAATTTAAAATGTAAATTTATCTTTACACGCATTTAGAAAATAAAATCCAAAATTAAATAATTTGGTGAAGTTTCTACTTGTTTATGAATATTCCATATACCTAACACTTTTCAATTTCTTGTTTTCTTGATATTCATGTATCAGTGATTTTATTTGCAGGTAGGAATAATAGATTTTCTTGCGCAGAAGAAGATGCTTCAAAGGTTGTGTATTCAAAGCTTTAGAATCACCATCTATCGATAAAAAAAAATAAGCTTGTTTTTCTCTATAAGAACTATTAGGGTTTTAGCCGAAATGATAGTAGAATAAACAAGGTGTGATGATGGGTTTAATTATAAGGTGTGGATTTATTGATAAATATAAGTTTTATTATTAATTTTATATTGTGTTTGATGGTAATCATATACTATGATAAAAAAGATAATTAACATTTAAAATTTAAATTAGATGTAAAAAGAGGGTACGCGGTTCAAATAAGATTTCCCAAATAAAATTCCAAGAGATCACTATTCACTAAAAATGGAGCTTTAAGCAGCGCCTAGGCGGGCCTCTCTATCACGCTCAACTCTCAACTCTCAACTCTCGAGTCTCAAGAAACACAATCGCCAGAGGACGACGGCGATCGGGACTTGCCTTTGATTTTGACGAAGACCCACTATTCCGTGCAGCAGAGCTCGATTGCAGTTTTGGGTGAGTCTCAATTCCCCAGTACATATAATTTTGCTTCAATTTGTTCATCGTCTTCCGGATTTCTCTTCAATTTTTTTTTTTTTGAGGCCAACTGATTCAAAATTCAAATTCATGTTTAAATTGATAAGTGTGGGTGTGGGTACCCAATTATTTGCAGGCTTTCAGCTTCCTAAATGCTAAAGCATCTTTCTTTTTTACTACCCAATTGCCTATTTTCACCAAATTTACAGTTTCTTCTCTCTCTCTCTCTCTGTGAAGTAGTTTGTGGGTTGGTGTTAACTGGTAAATATTTTACTTTTCCTGTTTTACTAAACTGCAATGTTAATGGTGTTGGTTGAAGACAATTTCAAAGTTTTGGACTGTTTAGAGTATGTTGAAGTTTTTCTGATTGAACAATTCCCTTCTTATAACAATGTGTTAACGTTGCGAATAATTTTCAGGCCAGTAAGGCCTTTCTACATGCAATATAAGTAATAGCGGAATCATGGCATTATTCTAGTAAATATAGCTAAAGACTTTCATGTAAGAATTTATTAGGGATGGAACACTTTCACAGTCGGGTTGAGCCTGGTCATGATGATCGCATATACGATGCTTAGCATTTAATTTTAGCGAAAATGCACTGATGTTGGTAGATAACATGCTTTAGTTTTAGTTTGAGGTTTTGAACCTTGGCTTGTGTGAGTTACCTTCCATGTTTAACAATGGCCTTTGGTGGAACCATTTCTGACTGTTTTTCTTCCCTCATGGGGTACAGTTAAATTGAGAAGCTACATGAGTGGCGTCAGACAGAGGACCCTCGGGGGTGGGGGTCAGCATGTTCTGGACTATCTAAAAAGAATGCAGGCAGACAATCCTGCTTTCTTTTATGCAGTTCAGAGTGATAGTGATCACTCTAGTGGTAATATATTTTGGGTGGACGCAACAGCCAGGATGAACTATACATATTTTGGAGATGCTGTTATATTTGACACTTCGTATAGGATAAACCGCTACAGGGTACCGTTTGCCTCATTCTCCGGATTTAATCATCATGGCCAGCCGGTGTTGTTTGGCTGTGCGTTAATTCTCAATGAGTCTGAGTCCTCCTTCGTATGGCTATTTCAAACTTGGCTTCATGCAATGGCTGGACGCCTCCCTGTCTCTATCACTACTGATCCAGATAGGCACATGCAAGTTGCAGTTGCGCAAATTCTTCCTGAAACCCGCCATCGCTTCTGTAAGTGGGCCATATTTAAACAAACACAAGAGAAGTTGGATCAGCTGTATCATTCTCATCCTACTTTCGAAACCGAGTTTAAGAAGTGTGTCAATGAGAGTGAGACAATTGATGAGTTTGAGTCACGGTGGCAGTCATTGCTCGGAAGATACTACATCATGGATAATGAGTGGCTTCAATCCATGTACAATGCTAGGCAACAGTGGGTCCCGGTTTACATGAAGGACACCTTTTTTGGAGAGTTTGCTGTAAGTGAGGGAAGTGAAAGGTTAGCCTTGTTTTTTGATGGGTATGTGAATGCATCCACTACCATGCAGGTTTTGATTAAGCAGTACGAGAAAGCTTTAGTTAGTTGGCATGAAATGGAATTAAAAGCAGATTATGACACTACTAATACTATGGCAGTTCTGAAGACACCGTCTCCTATGGAAAAACAAGCTGCAAACCTCTATACAAGGAGAATATTTAAGAAGTTCCAGGAGGAGTTGGTTGAGACCATGGCAAATCCTGCAACCAAAATTGATGACTCAGGAACTGTTGCCACCTATCGAGTGGCCAAATTTGGAGAAGACCACAAAGCTCATGCTGTTAGTTACAATTCCTATGAGATGAAAGCTAGTTGTAGTTGTCAAATGTTTGAATATTCAGGGATAATCTGTAGGCACATACTGGCAGTTTTTAGAGCAAAGAATGTTCTCACACTTCCTCCTCAATATGTATTGAAACGATGGACAAGAAATGCCAAGAGTGGAGCTGGCGGAGCTATGCTGGATGAACGTGCTTCTGAATCGCCAAGCAATTCTCGAGAGTCTGTAACAGTTAGGTATAACAATCTACGTCAGGAAGCAATCAAATATGTAGAAGAGGGAGCAAGGTCTATCCACATATACAATGTAGCAATGAATGCTCTACAGGAAGCTGCTAAGAAAGTTGCTGCTACCAAGAATAAAGGTTCTGGAGCTACACAGGGTAGTTCCCTTGCCAATGGAGGTAGCCAAGAAATTCCTGCGACTGAAGCGAATGAAATGGCAGGGTATCAATCCACGGTGAGTTGTCCTACCTCACAACCTGATCTGTTCTATTTAATATTGATATTTATCGTTGTTGTTGGTGGTGTTGTTCTGGTTATAATTCTTATTGACGAGAATATCTTCCTTTCCTCTCACACACACTGGGGTCATTTGGGAAGTTTCTGAACATGGAATAGAATTATTGAGAAGTGCAATGTCTTCTCTCATGAATCTGGAAATTGTGGATATATTCTCTGAATTATTTGCTTCTTCGGTAGCTTAGGTGCATGTAGCTATTGAACTGTGCAAACCAAGAAATAATGCATCTTTAGGTGTTCCCTGTTTACAAACTTACAAACACTGTAATTCATAAAGTCAATTTCACGACTGTAGCCAGAGAGGCCCAGATTTGAATTATGATATTTAGAATCCGTGCATGACATAATTTGCGGTTGTGTTTTCAGTACGATTGTGAAATACCACGCCGTTATTTCTGTTTACATATTATTTTCATCCATACTCATTATTTTCATCAGGATGAGAAGGAAAAGAAAATCCGCGAATTGTCTGCTGAGTTGGAGAACACCAACAAACGCTGTGAAGTTTATCGTGCAAATCTGCTTGCTGTTCTACGAGATATGGAAGAGCAGAAGTCGAAGCTTTCGGTGAAGGTTCAAAGTGCAAGGCTAAGTCTGAAGGAGTGAATGCTATCTTAGCCACGGGTTTAACGTCCTCTAATGTCAATACTAGGAAGCTGTACCATTAGGTCTTCGCCGTCTTTAGCCATTTGTTACAGTTTATTACTTGTTTGTGACAAATTCATGCTTTATAACCACTTGGCTTGTTATGCATGCAGTTCGAACACTCTCTGTTATTTTTCAATTAATTCCCCCAATAAAATAGGAAATCCCTCTTGAATCTTCCATAATCGTACAGGGTTTAACAAACAAAGAAAAAGAAAAAGAAAAAAAGAGAATATGGAATCAAATAATGTGGCTCTTTACCATATTGGGGGAAAGATGATGAGTCATTGTATGACCGTATGGGTTCAAATTCTGTTAATGATTAATCTAACATCTAATCTAACAAAATCCACCGCTTGACAAAAAAAAAAAAAAAAAAGAAAAAAAAAGGTGAAAGTTAAAACAAGAAGAATTTCCGTGCAGTGCTGCCTTTAGCTGGGAAGAGGCAACCCTTGAGACGATTGCTTCTTCGTTTATCTTCAAGTCTGATAGAAATTTATTTGAAATTATGTCATGTTTACTGACCTGGAACGAGTATTAGATTGTTTCGGTTCATGACTTTTTTCTTGTTTACTAACATATTTTCGAATTAAAAAAAAATTATGTGAGTCCCGTATTACAATCCATAACTTAATACCTGAAAATCAAGAATTCGACTCATTAAGAAGATCAACTGATCACATATCCATTCCTTACAACTTTCCCGATTCACGACTTTTTTCTGTTACAAGTAACTATCCTCTAAAAAAAAACAGATGCGATCCAACACTTAGCAGCTTCAACTATACAAAGATGTCACAGTACCCCTAAATTTGGAAATCACAGTGGTATATCACCTGTGACAGAGGGCAGAGGCACAAAACCATCTCATCTGTTCATCGCTTTTTGCTTTGTCTTTATTAAAATATAAGGAAGCTTCCACATAAATCCATCCATGCTGCTGCTTTTACAATCTTTGAAATCCTTTATTTATCAAAGAGACAAGAGAGAATAATAAATCCAAAAATTTGTGAGCCTACAATGACCTCACCTTCAACATCAAGTTTCCCATCAGAAAACAATGGAGGAAGAGATGATCCGGACGTGGTCATTCCAATTGAATTGCCAGACGATGTTAATATAACTCAGCTGATGTCGTCAATGGAGGAACGTCTTAAGTCAGTTGAGAAAACAGATTGGCTACTCCGCCCATCAGCTGGTAGGGAATCCGGCTGCATCTTCAAAGTACCTCAACTGTTGGTCGAAGTCAACAGCAAGCACTACCACCCGCATATAGTCTCCATCGGCCCATATCACCGCGGTCGCCAACATCTGGAGATGATGCAGCAACACAAATGGAGATATCTTTGCGACTTACTTGATCGAACACCATCAACTGGCCCCAAACTCGCTGATTACTTCCAGGTTGTAGCTTTGGAGGAGGAAAGATACGAGGGTGCTATTCTGAGACCCTCAACTACTTGAGCAAAAGCGAGCTCGTTGAGATGATGGTACTAGATGGTCTCTTCATTATCGAAGTCTTCTCCAGATTTGAAGATTTTGCACAAAATTTGGATGACACCATCTTTAGCTCGGAATGGATATTGCCTCAACTTAGGCTAGACTTTCTTCGGCTAGAAAACCAAATTCCTTTTTTCGTTCTTCAACAGTTATTTGATATGTCGAAACCTTCAATAAAGGATACTAATCAGTGTTCGTCCCTTAGCAAGGCTGCTTTAAAATTCCTTGGCTACGTAGTGGAACAAAGATCGGACAAAGTCTTGGAGCAATTTTTCAATGTAAGGCGGAGTACATCTACTCGATTTATTTCACTTGACTTTTACCACCGGTATTCTTCATCCTCCTCGAGAAAATCCTTCTCAGTCGGTTGAATTGATCGGAACAGTGAAAAAGCTTCATCAAGCGGGAATTAAGTTCAAGAAAAGCAAGGCAAACAGCTTCCTAGATATCAAATTCTGCAATGGAGTGCTAGAAATTCCACACGTAATAGTAGACGATTACAGTATCCATGTACTCCTGAATTTTGTTGCATTCGAACAATGTTATGAGGATTGCGACAAGCACATAACCACTTATGCTGCATTCATGAACTGCCTCATCCGCAGGCCTGCGGATGCAACCTTCCTCTCTGAGAAGAACATCATCGAGAATTATCTTGGATTCGACGAGGAGCTCGCTCAATTCTTCAACAATATGAGCAAAGATGTTGGTTTCAGCGTCATTGGGAGTTACTTAGAGCAGGTATTCAAGGATGTGAACGAGCACTGCAATAATGTTTGGAACGTGCAATGGGCAGGTTTTATGTTAAAACCCCTTGGTCTTTTATTACTCACAGTAATCCAGACCGTTTTATCCATTTTTGAATTTAACGGTCCACAGGAGCGTAGCGGAGGGCACTAGGTTTAGGGCGCGCCGATCATCTCTCAAGTGCTCTATGGGATTTCATTTCCTTACAATTCATTTGGTTTTGCATCATTTGATTTCTTTGTTGATTTGCCTTTTACTAATTTCTCATATGTTTGGCTGGTGTGTAGTATTTAGCTTTCATATATGAATCTAGAGTGTATTTTACCTTTAATCAGCGCTGCATGTTGTTTATATATATATATATGTGTGTGTGTGTGTGTGTGTTTCTATTTAAACATGATCTTCTATTTTGTTATTTTTTATGGGTTTTTATCACAAATTACTTTAGTCTAAAGTAGGAGGGAAATTGGCACTATTCATATGAACAGTGTTTTGAACCACATTTCAATTTATTTACAAGATTACCACTATGCTGAAGGCTGCTGGATTAGTTCGTTTTGGGCTGTGTTTGCTTGGGCTTACCTCAATTGTTGATGAGGCCAGCCCTTTGGGTGTTCAAATGATGGGAATGCCCATCTAGGGTTAGGATCGGACGGCCCGGATTAAAAGTTTGGAGGATACTTTTGTCATCTTAATTGTCAGAACTGATTGGGATCGATGGTGAGGGGATTGTAGGGCGGACGGGAGGCCATTATCAGTTTCTGCTACTCTCCGCAAACCCAAATTTCTTCGTATCGTTCCAGTATTCAACGACAAACCCAGATCCCTAAACGCAAATTTCTTCATTTTTTCCCTCCTCCCGTTCCTGTAGGAGCATCAGATGTATCCAGATGAGCAGATCCTCAAGTCCAAGATCGAGCTCCTTAACATGACCAGCACGGTCGACTACGCCATGGACATCCACAAGTCCCTCCATCACACGAAGGTTTTCCCCAAGGCGATTAATTTCCATATTGGGTTTCCATTTTTCTTCATTTCTGGAATTTGGGTTTTAATTTCAGTAATTTATTTCTATTAATTTTAGTTCTGTTTTTAGTAAATGTTGTTCCCCTTTCCTTTTCCTCTTTTTCTCTCCCCTCTCTCTGTAACCATCCATCAAATTCCCTCATCCCTCCCTTTTCTCACTTTGTAATTTCCCTAAAATCCCTCACCGATTCTCTCTCGCCAGTCTTAGTCTCGCTAGCCGCGAGGTGTTCGAGGTCGATGAGGCGATTGCTATGGAGTCGCAGACCATCAAGCAGATGGTGGAAGATGACTACGCCAATAATGCGATACCTCTCCCCAATGTGACCAACCACATCGTCACCAAGGTCATCGAGTACGGCCGGAAGCATGTCGAACGTCGAGGCGGCGATAACACCGACGTCGGCAAGAGCGGCGATTAGACTATCAAGAAGTTTGTCGGACTTCATCAACGAGATCAAAGCTGATCAGAATGTTCTCTTTGATCTGGTCTTGGTGAGTATCGTGATCCCAACTCTTTGTTATTATTAGTTCAATTTCTCTGTTTGAGTGAATGCAGAGTTTTCTGTCATTCAAATGCAGGAGTCGCTTCGGCTCTCAATTGTTCAGCAGCCCAGAAACGATTTGATTTGATTGGGAGTCGTAACCTGTTTGAATAATTATATATATATTGTTTGGCTGTCTGCTATACAAATTAGCACAAAACAAGAAAGATTTAGTCACAAGTAAATAAAACTATAATTCTCACTTAGTTAGTGCTGCAAAATCTGTGTTGGGTCAATAATTGCAAGCTATTTTTTCCGAGAAACAATCAGATTAACTAATAAGTGTGTAGGTTTCACGTGAACTTTTTGTCTGCAAATTGGTGCCGTTTCTATGTCAAATTTTTCTTATGGCAAGTGAGGTTTCTATCCCTGTTCTACTTCTACCTGCATGGATTTGAATTTCTCATCTATGATTATTTTTGTACAAATAATTTCAGGATCGCAGGGCTGAAAGAGAACATGGACGTTTACCGCGTGATGCTGGAAGGATGGACAAATGTGTGATTGAATCAGGTGATAGTAGCGGGAATGAGAGTAGTGCCTAAACAAACATGTCATTATGGGGAAAGCAAGAAGTTGAAGAAGAGCATTAGCCCCTCACCAGCCACCAGTTCAAGGTGATGCAGTTTAATCGAATCAGGTTGAATTGAATAATCCTTGAAGTGACAAGAAGAAGCCGACTAAGCCAAGTAATAATTCTTAATTACTTAGATGTTTTCATTTTAATTTATGATTTGATTGGCCCTTATAGAAATTTCGAGCTCCTTAATTGTTGGACCATTGATATGTTATGAGTGTTGATTAGTGTAGGTGTGTAAATGTAGTGTATGGGTGTTAAGTAATTCAGATGTTATCGACGATCTCAGAAGGGAAGGGGTATCCCCTTCTTCTTTTTCTCTTGAACTCTCTCTATCAAAAAACTAAACCATGGCCGCCAGTTTTCTTATCCTTTAATCGCTGATCTCCTCAGGTTTGCCTCAAGCCGGCGAAGGAATCAGGGGAACGGAGCTCAGGCTATCAGAGGTATATTTTCACATCCCTAAAATTTTATTTTATTTTATTAATTTCAACCGGATCTGAGAATTTCTAAGTCATGGATCTATGAATAGTGTGTGTTGAGTCTCTGAGCATCTCTATTTTTTTTTTTCATCAAATGGTCTCTATAGTGTCTCTGTGGGTTTGTGCATCTATGTATGAATATGATCTCTGCAAGCTCATTATTGTCCTGGGAAACCACCTAAATTATCGATCCCTTGCTTTCTATGTACAGTGTTATCAAGTTCTATTTTCTAATTTTCTGATTTTGAGGTGGAGGGAGAGCTAATGTAGTAATGTTCAGGTATTTTGTGTCTTTTGGGTAACTTTGTGATATGCAGTTGATTTTAGGAATTGATTTATGGTGGCTTGAATGCACTGACAGAAGTTACTGTTTCTGTTAATGCGGATGACGGAAATCGACCCAAGTTCAAACTGAAACAGTATGATTATTTTGGTTATGGTGAGAACTCAGAACCCTTTCTTAATCTTTCCTGTTTTTGGAATTGAAAAATTGGGTTAATTTTATGATGATTCACCGAGAATTTGTTAATCGCTTTAATGCATATTAGGTAGGGTTTCTGCTTTGTAGGATCTATTTCTGGTCTTTAGAAATTGCTTGATTTGGTATTGTCAAATGGTATATGAATTTCCATGTTCAATTTGTCAGTATGTTGTTGTAGTAGTTTAATTGGATGCAATATAAGTTGAGGTGTTGACATGAAATCAGACACAAGTAGTTTTCCTCGATTTCGCGGTATAAAGTTTTAGTTTGATTTAGGCTATAAATGATAACCAAATTAAGTTGAATGAGTTGTCACAATCAGAGATGGCTGATGACATTTTGAACTGCTCAGATACAACTGAAGTGGAGAAGGATAGCTCAGTGGCTTCCTAAGGTGCAATGCTACTTCAAAATGCTTTAGTTCAGAAGCCGGCAGAATCAATTTTCAATCTTGGGCCAAGAAAGAAATCATTATCTGATATTGCGAACTTACTGGTATGCTTCATTATCCTTTTTGAACCCTGCTTTATTTTTCTTAAAGAACTAAAATCTTTTATAGTGAGTACTTTGTTCTCCGCTCTAATAATTATCTTACCCTTATATGGGACTGTTTGCGTTTCAAAAGTATTTTTTAAGGTACTTATGACTCCTAATTGCCATTTTGCATTAAAAAATACTTTACTGCTTGCTGGGGTTTACCCCTTGGAGCATTTCATTACGTTTCTCCTTACTCTCTGACTAAAAAAATTTTTAAACCCTATATAGGTGAATGCAGACGCTGCAAAACCCGGCTCAAAGAACTGTAGATGCTGAAGACAAAAAAGAAGCAAAGGATGCATTGCAAGCATAAGGTTGAGATAAAATTTTCATTATGAAAGAGAACATTGGTCTTCATTTGCCTGCACTTTTTACTACAAATTTAATTAATATGCTTGAAACTTACGATGCCAAATCATGGTTCAATACGAATATATTTGGATTATTGGATAAGCATCGGCCAATTGGAAAATATGAGAGAATACTGCGTTCTCTGATTTTTTTTGCTGTTTGCTGTTGTGATTACATGTTAGTTTATACTCATTTTTAAAGAACTATGTATGGTAGTTGATATTGTGGCATGTGAAAATCCTTAGTTTTGTATTGGATTTCAATATTGTCACCTACATGTAGTGATTAAAAGGCTATGGATTATTTTCAAAGTTTTTAGTACCGTTAGGTCAGGTTTTGGGGGATGGTTGTCTCGCTTTGTTTCATTTTCTCTCATTTGGGTATTTTTCTCTTTGTTCTATGTATTTATTCTTTGTTTTAAGGTCAGTTGCCTATTTTTATTTTTATTTTATGTTTCTTTTTGTGGGTTTTCAATTCGTTAATTTGTCACTCTGTGTCATTTTAATTTCTTCCTTCATTTATGATTAAATTGATGTTGGATTTTAGTTGTTAAAAATATGATTTTTTTTCTGCTTCAGCTTCTTGGCATTTTTCTGGGAGTTTTAGGCTTTCAGTTGCGAGCGTATCAGAAAATAATCCCAAAAATTGGTATTGGTATTTGTATTAATGAATTTCCATTTTCTCTCCCAAAACAATTTGTTAATTGAAAATTGTTTTCTTTCTGCAGAAGGTGGTAGTGAAATTGGATTTACATAATGACAAAGAAAAGAAAAAGGCCTTGAAAGCAGTCTCCAGCCTTACAGGTATCAATTTTGTTTCAAGCATGTCGGTTTAATTTGGCTCCGTGAAAAAACTTAGAAAATAATAAAAATGTAAAAACAATTTTGAATTATTTTTCATTCATCAGCACCCATTGAGTTCTTTGTATTGGTTGAGAAGTTAATGAAATTTTGTCAAGTTTTATGTTTTTATGTATGCTTATTGTGTATAAAATGACCGTGTCTGTAAAAATTGAACCTTTGGCTTATTTCTATACAAAAATTAAAATTTTAAACCTGCTTTTTCATATTGTGGGATGAGTGTTTTGTAAAAACTTGTCCTTTGGCTCATACATGTGTAAACTTAAGGATTTGGAGTTGTTTTCTGTGTTGGTTATGAATTTTAGGTGACTAAATTGGTGGTTTCGTATATTAAGTTAAGTTACAAAGTAGATTCATGGTTGGGTTTAAGTTATATTAGAAAACATGGATCATTTAAAGTCTCTGTACAACTGGATGTTTGTTTACTTGCACAAAATTTTTGTGCATAGAAGTTTGTTTCTGCTTCTCAGGTTCTTTGCCCCGGTGTTTATTAATTGTGTTTTTCTCTATTCATTTGGGCTGTCTCAGTGGGTTGAAGATCTGATTCAAGGTTCTTTCCCTATCATTTCAATCTAGATTAGCTGGTGAGTGACATGCCCTTTGTACTGGTGTGGTATCATTGGTGCTCACTTTGTATTACTGCTTTTGTAACGTTTGGATGTCTCAAGATAAGTGCTTATAAGAGGTAAACTGTCAATTTTACAAAGTTTTCTGGTAAATTAGATATATAGTTTAATTCGAAGAGTTGTGTTGACCTTTACTTTCGTTAATTTTATAGTTTAATTGCGTCCCCTATTTCCAATCCCTATATATCTGCTCAACTCTTGGGTCAATTATTTGCCAGTAGGAATGTTCAATTGCTTGATCAATGATATCGATTCAATTTGAAGAAGAAATAGGACTTTTGTTCAATAGGGATTGAGACTCTCACATGAGTAAGATGTCCCAATTGTTCATTGATTCTTAGGTGCTACGTCTTTTTAGTTGCTTTGTGTGGAAACTATTCATGCCTGTAGCGACTAATACTTTTAAGTCCCGCAGCAACGCGCGGGCATATTTTCTCGTGATCTCTAAAGTTGACCCAAACTATCAAGATGATCAATGGAATTGAAAATCAATCAATGTAATCCCTAAAAATAATGTCGCAAAGCAATGAAGTCATTATGTCATAATTCTGTTATTTGCTAATGTGACACATAAATAGGCTCCATAAGTCGTATTATCACAAATGGTTCATGAAATTTACCCACACCATCAAGATGGTCCTTGAAATTAACCCACAATATCAAGATGGTCCTTAAAATTGAAAATCAATCAATATAGTCCTCGAAATAGGTGTCTCAAATCAATGTGGTCCTTCTGTCACAATTTTGTCAAAAATTATAGGGCGTCTTAATGAAACACTCCTGATACTGTTCACTTTTAACGTTAAGAAAATTTTTACTCTAAAAAATCACTCGTGGTACTGTTTACTTACAACACATTTTTGTCCTTTTGGTTAAAACTCAAAGTTTTCAAATATTTTTCATTAGTTTTCCTAAAATTATATTATGTGCTGATGTGACACATGAATGGGTCTCATAAGTCTAATTAAATTAAAAATAAATTAGAAATAGGTTTAATCATTTAATAATTAATTAAAAAAGTTGTCTACCTAGAAACCAAGTCTCACAATCACCTCCGATCTCAACCCACACCCCTCTACCTCTATCTATGGTAGCATTCGCCATCTTTTCTCTGGAAAAATAAAATAAAATAAAAAATAAAAAAATCTCAAGGCACTCATCCACCCTCCACTAAACCGGACCAGCTGAATCGAAACCACCTTGTGATGGCTTGGATTGACAACAACTTATGTGACTTCATTGTTAATATTTGGCTATCGACATCTACACAACCTTAATCTTAGAGAGCATGTTGGGCACTACGCTGGTGATCTTAGTGACACAGAGAACGGCGAGTTCCGTCTTGAGATAATCCCATTGTGCGAAAAGGTGTTATGACAACCTTTTTAATTAATTATTACCACATAACAAAGTTTTTAACAAAATTGTGATGGAGAGATAATATTGATTGCAGCATCTATTTTAAGGACTCAGGGACCATTTGTGATAAAGCTCGTAAATTTTGTGGAACCAATTTATGTGCCACATTAACATATAACAGAAATTTTAACAGAATTGTGATGGAATGATCACATTGATTTGCGACACTTATTTTCAAGGACTATATTGATCACACTATTTGAAATAAAAATCTTTTTAAAATATTTTTACCCTTTTTTTGTTTATTTCCCATCACATTCTACTACAAAAACTATTTGACTTTAATAAAAAATATCTCACAAACAAATTATTTAAAAAACTGGACACGAAAACACTCAACTTTTTAATAATCTCACAAACCAAATTCTTCATAAAAAACCGTCCAATCAACTTTTTTTAATAAATACAAACGTTAATTCTTGAAAAAATATGTGCAAGAGAGAATTTCTGCATACAACAAAAAAGAATGCTAAGGAAACTCTTAAAATAAAACTCTTTATGAATTCTCTAACACTTTATAGTTTAATTTTAACTCCCATACCAATTATAAAACATTGTGCATAAAACATGAGATGCATGAATCAATGAAGAGTTTCATTTTTAAAAAAGTTTCTTTTTTTTTTCACGATAAACCCAAAAACAAGCTTAGACACGCAAGCCCACAGAAATATTTAAAAAGCAGGAGAACAATAAGCCTGTGTGAGTGTGTATGCATGCCACAAGGTAAGTAATAACAAGGGAATAAATATTCGTGGGAGGAGGATTCTCCATCCTCATATTTCTATCTCCTTCCATCCTCTCCTCTCACACATTGTTTTTTATTTTATTAACTCTATAAAAAAATCAATATAAGATGTTGACGCGACTTAATTGTGATCGTTCAAATAGGAGGGCATATAAGAATAGAGAGATTAGAAGGGTAGAGAATCCTCCTCCATATTCGTGAACTCGTCAACGTTATAAATCAAAATCATAAGTATGGTACAATCTGCAACTAGTCCAAATCCCAACGATGTTCTATCTCGGACTCTGAGACATGATACAGTATTTACTTTTATTTAATTTTATGGCTGCATCAACTTTCAAGTTATTGTCTACGTACACTGTAAAAGGATCAAGTCAATCGTACTTCATCTTTAATACGAGAAATCCTATTTTAATTCTGAGATTAAGAAAATAGGCCATTTTTGGCAATTTCATTTTCTTTTTTACACTGTCACTGTTTTTTTGGATTAATTCCCCCAAGAAAATAGAAAATCCCTCTTAAATCTTATTTTAATTTTGAGATTAAGAAAATAGGTCATTTTTAGCAATTTTATTTTCTTTTTTACACTGTCACTGTTTTTTTTATTAATTCCCTCAAGAAAATAGAAAATCCCTCTTAAATCCTATTTTAATTTTGAGATTAAGAAAATAAGTCATTTTTGACAATTTCATTTTCTTTTTTACACTGTCAATGTTTTTTTTTTTTATTAATTCCCCCAAGAAAATAGAAAATCCCTCTTAAATCTTCCACAATCGTACAGGGTTTTACAAAACAAAGAAAAAGAAAAATGAGAATATGGAATCAAATAATGAAAGTGAAAGGTAAAACAAGAAGAATTTCCGTGCAGTACTGCCTTTAGTTGGCAGTGGCAACCCTTGATACGATTACTTCCAAGTTAATCTTCAAGCATACTAACCTGTAATGAATTATTAGATCGTTTCGATTCAAAACTCTCTTTTCGTTTGTTAACATATTTTTGAATTAAAAAATTACGAGTCTCATGTTACAATTCGTAATTTAATGCTTGAAAATCAAGAATTTGATTAAGAAGATTAACTGATACATATCCTTTCCTTACAATTTTTCCGATTCACAACTTTTCCTGTTACAAGTAACAAGGAATTGTCTTCTAGTCAAAAACTTCGATTTGGAGAGGAAGCATGGAATAATACTTTACAAAAAAAGATGCAATCCAACACTTGGCAGCTTCAACTATTCAAAGATCTCACAATATCCATAAATTTGGAAATCATAGTGATCATGCCACCTGTGATGGAGGCAGAAAACCATCTCATGTGCTTTTATTGCTCTGTCTTTATTAAAAAAATAAAGAAGCTTCCAAATAAATCCGTACTGCTGCTTTTACAAGCTTTGAATTCCTTTATTTATCAAAGAGATAAAGGGAGAATAATAATCCAAACACTAATTTCCACCTGTTGGGGGAGTTGAGATGAATTTTAGTCTCTGAAGAAAAAAAAGCATTCCTTCCTTGATACTCTAGAATTATCCCTCAAGTGAAAACCCATTTACAAGTTTTTGATTCTTCATTAAGCACCATTTTAAATCTTAAACTCACCAAATTGTTTGTTAACAAAAATAATAGCAAATCATCGTAAATTGTCACATCCCAGACCGGTTCCACCGTAGCACGATATAATCATCGTAAATTGTCACATCCCAGACCGGTTCCACCGTAGCACGATATTGTCCGCTGTCACATCCCAGACCGGTTCCACCGTAGCACGATATTGTCCGCTTTGGGCTTACCATTCCGTCACGGCATCGTAAATTGTCAAATCCCAGACCGGTTCCACCGTAGCACGATATTGTCCGCTTTGGGCTTACCATTCCGTCACGGTTTTGTTTCTGGGAACTTAGACAAGAACTTCCCAGTGGGTCACCCATCCAAGGACCGCTCTCGCCCAAACTCACTTAACTTTGGAGTTCTGATGGAATCCGAAATCAGTGAGTTTCCAAAGGGTCCCGTGCTATAGGGAGAGGAGCATCTACATATAAGGCACATTACTCCCTCTCCGTTGGTCGATGTGGGATCTTACAATGTGTAGAGATACAAGTGAATCCGCATATAGAAGAATCATTATTTGACATGTGTGCATAAACCCTAGTTTTTGTCATTTTAAGTTAATGAGTTACTTTTGGACACGTGTTAAACTGTGATTTGCAGATAAGGATGAATAATTCTTTACATAAGAGGAGCCGAATTGTGTTCTTCTAATAATATTGTTAGGGTTTTAAGTCAATATCCTCCAGTACTAGGAATGCTAATCTTAATCCCATATGTCAGGCAATGGCCAAAAAAACAACATCCATCCACAGAATCAGATTCCAAAGGGAATGCTTTATTTGATTCCTCTCTCTAAGTTCCAACTCTCCTCACCTAATTATTTGATCAAGGTAACCAATTTGTTATTCTCCACTTCTGAAAGTTAAGCAAAGAATCTCTACCTTAGCCACGGGACTGTTGAAACTCCCTTTTTAATCTCCATATAAGCATCCCTAACTCAGAAACTTGAGATTTACCCAAGAAAACTTTGAGGGAAAAAAACCATGAAGATTGACAAGGAAATCTCTCATCCCATCCACCTAAAACACAAGCTCAAGATCGAATACACCGAGGTCCCGTTCTACTGCGACGGGTGCAAAGAAGCCGGAATTGGCCTCAAATACAAGTGCCAGCAATGTGAGTTTGATTTGCACAAGGCATGTGCTGTGGCTCCTCCAACCATCACCCACCCCTTCTACGACAAATGTGAGTTTCAGTTTCTTTACAGACCACCGGGCGCTGTGAGGAGAGTGTGTGATGCGTGTAGGAAGGATGTTGTAGGGTTTGTGTACCACTGCAGGAAGTGCGGTTTTGATCTGCACCCCTGTTGTGCCAACCTCCCACAAGTCCTGGATGACGGTGAGCGCAACTTTTACTTGTACCTCAAGTTATCGAGCGCTTGTCATCGGTGTGGAGGCAAGGGTCGTGGTTGGTGTTATAGGTCGGAATGCAAGACGTATAATCTTCATGTGTCATGTGTGAAGGAGTTGCTTGTGGAGAGCTGGCAAGCCATGTATCTGAATGTGGACAAGAACAAGGTTAGGGAAATGCAGACTAGGATCCCGAGCCTTAAGGGGACGCTGAAAAACCACCACGGCGGAGGGAGAGGCGAGAAGGTCAGAAAGTGTTGCGAGATAGCTGGTGGCGCTGTTCGCATCATTGTCTCTGCCATACTAGGAGATCCTAGCGCTCTGATAGGGGCCGCTATTGGCGGTTTCATATCCAAGTAGAGAGTGCAGAAAATTGAAAACAAGTACATGTTTGGTATTTCTGTTTCTTCATGTTGTTGTGTTGTATTTGTTACTTTGTTTCATGTGAATGCCAAGTACTGTGTGAATGATTGGGACTACGTGTCGTCCATATCTGCGTACTTCGATATATTTGTGAAAAAAATATGGATTGTCTTTTTTTTTGTACAAGCGATAGTTTACACTAAATTCATTTGAATTAAGAGAGAGATTTAAACTTGGGTGCAGAAGGGCACACGACTTTAACTAACTTGACTAATTCCAGGTTTGTGGATTGTCATTTCTTAATCCAATATATTAATTTTCGGAACTAAAAAAACGAGGTTGAAAGGAAAAGATCACTTCACTCTATTACCAATGGTGCATCTTTTACTTCATAGATAACAGAAAAAGAAATGGTGCATCTTTTACTTCATAGATAACAGAAAAAGAACTCCTACATTCAAGTGATAATAGGGGAGCATGAATCAAACACTGAGCCTTGAATGGAGGAATTGATATTCTTAATCACTTAAATTACAACTCTGATCTTGCTTGCTTAACATTTTGAAATATAGAACTGGCTTGTTCGTTCCGCAATGAATGCCAAATTTCCCTTAATTCGGAATTTTAAACCTCCCTATGTTTGGACGAAGAAATTTAAAATTACTAAGGAATTTCAAAATGACGGAAATTGAAATAACGAGATTTTATTTTCTATAATTTGTGAATTTTCTTGTTTGGTTAAACTAAAAGAACAATGAAATTGAATACGGAATTTGTTATTTTTAAACTCTAAATCATGGAAATTGGAAAATGACACCTATTTATATGGAATTTGAACTTGGGAATTGGAGGTTCCAAATTCCAAGTTTTTTTTCCACGCAGAAATTCTAAATTTCTATGTTTATAAATCCAAACAAGGAAATTGGTGTATGTCAATTTTCTTGAGGCCTTCTGCAACGACCAAACTACCTTCCACTTTACACCACATTCTTCCATTGATGGTAGGGCGCTTCAGTTAACCCCAGACACCGAGAACTATAACAAAACAAGTCTGTCGGATCATGTACCATAGAACTTACCGAATACAGACTATGGCTTTCTGACATGCCTCATTCAACTCAACTTTCCTCATCATCATCTACAGCGACAAAGAGTGGGACGCTCGTGAGGGGTTTGCTTTTCTTATAGGTTTGGATATTCATGTACGTGGACAAAGTCAGGGGCAGTGGCTAGGCCTCGCAAATTCCAGCACTGATTGTCAAGCCACAGGCCACTTCGTTGCTGTTGAATTTGACATGGAGAAGCAAGATTTTGATCCTGATGACAACCACATTGGACTCAACATCAATTCTGTACGATCAGACAAGACTGTTTCTCTCAAGCCTTTAGGCATTGAGATATCACCGGAGATACCCACCAACTACAGCGTGCAGGTGGAATACAACGGTAGGTCCACAGTCGAAGTGTACATGGCTATACACTCTCAAACTAACCAGCCAAAGAAGCCTGAGACACCACCTTTGAAGGAGACAATAAACTTGAGGCAGTACTTGAAAAAGGTGTCCTGCTTCGGATTTGCTGGTTCCACAGGCAGCTCAGCGCTTCAGCTGAACTGCGTTTTGAAATGGGATCTGAAGGTGGAGGAAATGCACCCTAAAAAAGATTTGACTTGGTTGAAGATGCTGTCGGGGTTGGTGTCCCAATAACGGTTTTGCTACTATTCTCTACAGTTTGGGTGGGATTTGGGTATGCGAACAAAAGGAAAAGAACCAGGAACGAAGAGTCCAATGTTCACGGGACACTGAAGAAGTTGCCAGGGATGCCTAGGGAGTTCAAGTACAAGGAGCTTAAGGAGGCTACCAAGAACTTCCATGAGAGCATGAGACTGGGGCAAGGCGGATTCGGCATTGTTTACAGAGGATCTCTGCATGATAAAGATCATGCAAATACCAACACCTCTGCAGAAACTGCTGTCAAGAAATTTTCTCAGGACAACATCAAGGGCAAAGATGATTTCATGGCTGAGCTCACCATAATTCACTGCCTTCACCACAAACAGCTTGTCCAATTAGTAGGTATATAATTTTCAAGTTTAACTGCCTTTCCTAAATTTTTTGTTGTAAATGCAGCTTGATCAATAGGTATGGACAACCATGTTCATTACTCTAATACAAATACTGTCGTACAGGATGGTGCTATGAGAAAGGGAAGCCTCTTCTAGTGTACGATTTCATGCCAAATGACACCATTGATAAACACCTACATGAAGTTTATGATGAGAATACACTGAATTGGAAACACCGATGCAAGATCCTAGCTGGTGTGTGTCAGCATTGCATTACCTGTAAAATGAGTATGATCAAAAAGTGGTGCACTGCGACCTTAAAGCCAGCAACAACTTGCTTGACAAAGATGTCAATGCTCGCCTGGAAAGTTTGGCCTTGCCCAAGCCTTGGATCAAGAAAGGAACTCATGTGCTGAACTAAACTAGCTGGTCCCGGGCACCATGGGCTTATGTTGCTCCAGAGTGCTTTCACACAGGGAAGGCTACTCCAGTCTGAAGTGTTCGGTTTTGGGGCAGTGATGCTTGAAATTGTGTGTGGTAGAAGTCCTGGGATCATGATTGTTCATGAACACCAGCAGTATTCATTGGTCGATTGGGTGTGGATGTTGCATTCAGAAGGGCGTATCAAAGAAGCCGTAGATGAGAGGGTAAAAAATGATTATGTGTTTGATGAAGCAAATAGCTTCTACTTCTCGGGTTGACATGTTCACCTCTGATTGCTAGTGAGAGGCCTCAAATACAGGCGGGTTTGCCAGATCATATCTGGAACAGGAACCATGCCGGCCCCTAGTGTACCTCCATTCAAGCTCGCTTTCACGTGGCCTTCTGTGGCTACTGCCTACAGCAGCACTGAGACCGAGATTACACTTTCTAACATCATTCTTTCTAGCATTACCTTGTCTTCCTAAGTTACAGTAGAACATTGAATGTAATAGCATTGCAGTGGCTTCAGCTCATCCCCTGACTAGTTATTAAGCTCCTAGGAAGGCGGGGTTAACCAGCCATAGCGAGTTTTCTTACTGTATGTAGTCTCCTCTTGCTTTAAGATTGGAGGTTTTTTACGTAAGTCCGTTGTTTAGAATACCTCGTGATATTATGTTTAACGAGACTGCTAATTGTGCTAAGAATTTTTTTAAAGATTCTACCTGAAATCAGTAAAATTACAGCATTAATTGTTCGTTCAGAACCTAAACTCTCTCAATTAATTTCATCAATTGTGTTATACCCGTGAGATTAGGTAATTTTCAGCCAAGGCTGCATAAAAAGTTGTTAATTGAGGAGCGCCAGTTTCATTGGTCGTGCAGAAATCAAACTATGGCCTAATATTTCATCTTTCAGTTCCTAAATGAAGAAATGAAACAATATTCGAAGTTCTAACTTCTAACAGATAGCACTCGATAGAAGAAAGACATATATATTGAAATGTATTTAAGACCAAGTCATTCTATGACCACCAGATTCTTGAACCATATACAAGTTCAATTCACCTGATATATTGAAATTGCGATGCCAAACTAAGCTACAATACAAGAAAAACGATTATCGAAGGATAGAAAAATGAAACTCTAGTACCTTGAGCCTATTCTTCAAACCAAACCAAACTTCGTTACGAACTTCTTTTGATTACAGTCTAGCATTTCACTCAAGCTACAATCAGTTGTCGTCTGTTTCAAAAGTTTATGTCGCCGCTCCACTCTTTTCTTCAGACCATGGCGGAAGAAGTCAGGATAATCAGCGACTTCATCAATTCGTCTCCCCATAACCTCTACCAAGTACCTGATTCTCGGTTCTAAAGAGTTGTGGATGCTCTTGATCAGAATGGGTGGATAACCAGACACCAAAGCCGCTATCTGTCCATCTTGAAATCCACTTCTCTTTAGAAATTCGAAATTGGGTCTCAGAATCTTGTCCACATCTCTACACAACACTTCCGGAAAGTTCATTACCACTGTCTGAAGACCCTGCTCTGTGAGACCTACTGATTTCAAAAACTCTGCCGTAGGGCGCAGTCTTTTGTCAACGCTATAACCCATGATAAATGGGTTCTTTACCAGTACTTTTCCAATCATTCCTTCTCTGGATAGGCCAAGATTAGCAAGAAAGTTCACGATTTCAGAAAGCTTTGCTTCAATACTGTAGCTGATGAGCCTTGGATTGAGCAAAATCATTTTGCCAAGTTGCTTTTGAGGAATTCCCAGAGCCTCAAAGAATCCCAAAAGGGGACAGAGCTTCTCTTCCACGCTATGGGACAGAATGTGAGGGAATTTGGCAATGGCAGACGCAACTTCACGGGGTTTGGTACCAAGCGTGGTGAGGCACTCAACTGTAGGGATGAGCTTCTCGTGGAGAGCCAAAGTAAGTATCTTGGGGCACTTTGAGACAACAAAAGGTAGCTTCCTCTCCTGAATGCCAATACTCTTCAAATAAGCCCAATTCTCGGAGGCTCTTTCTGCTTGCGCGTTCTCAAGGCGCTTGCACTTTTTGAGCATATCTTGAATGCTCTTATCATCAAAACCTTTATCCCTGAAGAACCACATGATACTAGAACCACCATTTTGGGTGGTGCTGGTTTCCATTATCCCCCTGAAAGTGAACGTGTGAAAACATCAAGCCCAAGCTACATTTACAGGTTCATATAAACCCAGAAACCTACTGGTGTAACAAGTAAACATCGACATTCAATAGTGGGTCCGGCTACAATACTAACACTAACACGAACACCTGAAAATACCATCGTCGTGGCCCGCTTTAGCACCTCTTCAAGTTCAAGAGTATACTACACCATCTGATTAGTCTAATACACCGTCTGATGGGTTGTTTTAGTGTTTGTACTTAATACGTGTTTATAACGTAAATAAACCGCATTCAGCAGATGGATGAAAATTAACAAAATCAGTAAATGGGCAGTCATAAAAACTAACAACCTAAACACTGCCATAGAATAATACTATCAGATTATAAATGCGCAGTTAGGCCAGTTGGCCAGGACAGTGTGCCCGCCCTCTCGCACTCGAGTTCAAATCCCCCTCCACCACAGAATTGCTTATTTCTATTCTGAATTCGGCAAATATATACATACATGTATATATAAACATACACACAGAGTGAGAGTCACATACCTATGATTCAATCTGTTGCAGCAAAAGGGAACGGCAAAAAAGGGAGAGACTTTGCGGTTGTTCCGGCAGCCGCCGAAAATTCATAGGCAGTGGCAGTGGCAGTGAGGAATTAACAAAGGAGAAAGCCAAAGCCTTATCTGTTGGACTTGGTTTTACCTCTCTCTCCATTTCAAGCAGGGGTTAGAGTCCGAATTCCGTATTTGCCCTCGTTGTCTTCTCAAATGACCAATGTATCCTTTGCCGTATATGCCACAATCAGAGAGTCCTCTTTCTCCTCTCTCGGTTCGAATTGAAACCCCAAAACCCTAAACTCTCCCTTAAACCCTAATCAGAAACTCAAAGCTCGTAACTTTATCGATCAGAATTTATCGGGGCGATGCCATCGTTTCAGGGTCAGGTTTCCAAGCACATATTGTCCACCATTTCTAACCCTCTTCGCCAATCAACGAGCTTGTCGATGAAGCTACGTCGTTTTAGCACCACCGCCGATCGTGGCGGTGAAATGGAAGCACCACTGGAGCAACAGCCGCCGGAGCCCATACCCAATAGGCCCTTGAGAGGCCAAAGACCATCAAATCCTCGAACTTCCAATCTTCAGTTTCTCAACAAAAACTCGCCCATTTCAGAGAAAAGGAGAGAGAGGCCTTCTTCTCCGCCATTGCAGGACAGCAGCTTTCTCGAAAAGCTGAAGATGGGTCTCGACAAGTCGAAGAGGGAGGAGCCTCAGGAAGTTCCCGAGCCGCCACAGCCGCCCGAAGAAGCGGACCAGATATTCAAGAAGATGAAGGAGACTGGTCTCATTCCCAATGCCGTGGCAATGCTTGACGGGCTCTGCAAAGATGGGCTGGTCCAGGAGGCTATGAAGCTTTTCGGGTCGATGCGTGAAAAGGGCACGATTCCTGAGGTTGTTATATACACTGCGGTGGTTGATGGGTTTTGCAAAGCACAGAAACTTGAAGATGCTAAGAGAATTTTCAGGAAGATGCAGAGCAATGGGATTGTTCCCAATGCTTTTAGTTACACTGTGTTGATACAGGGGTTGTATCGGGCTAATATGTTGGAGGATGCTGTTGAATTTTGTAGCGAAATGTTGGAAGCCGGTCACTCGCCCAATGTAACTACTTTTGTGGGGCTGATTGATATGGTTTGTAAGGAGAAGGATATGGAAGAAGCTGAGAGTGTTATTGGGAAGTTGAAGCAGAAGGGGTATTTGGTTAATGAGAAGGCTGTTAAAGAGTTTTTGGACAAAAAGGCACCATTTTCGCCGAGGGTTTGGGAAGCTATCTTTGGGAAGAATAAATCGCAAAGAGTGTTTTGAGTTCCCTTGGTTATCAGAAGTATAAGAAATTGTAAGTTTTGCTGTTCTGCTGTTGATCATTTTAGATTGAGTTTCATTGGCTTTGTTAAAAGCGTGTTGCCTCACTGTATGAGTGGCGGCATGAGAAGAACATAAATGTCACCCTTGGAAATTACTCTGTTAATAATGGTCACGATTGCTTGTGCTTTGTATGGTTTTCCAGGATCTTTAAGCATAAGCTTTTTTATCATATTTTCTTACAGTTCACATTTGTCAATGTACATATCATGGCACTTCTGATTACTAAAACGCTACTCTTTTAGCGGAGACTAGGATTTATGACCTAGATCAAGTTTTCTTAGTTCAATTAGATTGCGCGGTTTATGACTTAGATCAAGTTTGCTTAGTTCGATTGCCTAATTTATGCTCTTGATCAAGTTTGCTAAGAACTTCACATAATAGCTACTTCCTGTTGTGTTTTTATTGATACTTAACAAGCTAAAGATGTTTAAGAATGTATTGTAATAGTTAATGTTGTGTTTGCCTTTACTCCGTTGTGTTGCTGAGTCAATCATTCCGACAAAATCGAAAATGCTCATTGGCTCTTTGAAGAAAACATAGTTGAAAAGGCTAAGGAGGGGAGATGCTGGTGCTAGTTTTGTGTTCACAGATTGTGATGGAGGTAGTACATGTGAGTAGTATCAGTGAAGGAAAGAGGGTCTTGAGGAGAAGACAGAGATCATGACAGCAGTAGTAAATCTATCAGTGGCTTGAGGGGTCAACTTGAATTTATATTAATCATAAAACGGCAGTAGATGTAATTTGGTAGTTTTAGAATTAGTAGGAATTACTCTGAATTAGTATTAATAGCAGCAGCAGCAAAAATATTAGTTCCTCAGTTCTAGGTTAAAGTTAGGACTTAGGTAAATTGATGGCTTCAAAGATTTGTTTCACTTTGTATTAATCCATAATCCATGGAGGTAGTGAAGCTAAGGATGTGACTAAGGTTGTGATGGTGTAATTAGTACTACTCCTAGTTGACCTATCTTTATGAATGGCTGTGATGTCCGTATTATGAAGAGGTGAACATAAAACTGACCTGTTGAATTTGCTACGTTATTATTGAAGCATTGTGAAGACAGACACGGTTCTGCATAGGTGCCTAGACGATTAGATGAAAACATCGATGGAGATAGTTCCCCTCTGTAAAGGCTACAGAGCTTTTGACAGGTGATCCTTATAAATTGGTCTAGTTTTCTAGTTTGTGATAGAGTTGCAACGGTACCGGGTGGTAGATTTCTTTTAAATTTGCGGAAGCTCGATCATATAGATAGAGATACAAAGTTCTAATGATTCTCATTTACATGTGGGTTTTTTTTTTTTTTTTTTTCTCTATCTGCAATACATTGTTTTTCCTAGTTATCTGAGTGCAAGATTTTACCTTTGCGGCCAGTTAAAACTTATGTCAGGAAGCCCAATACTTAACCGTGCATCGTGCAAGTTCCGGATAATTCCTGCTCTTGGTTGCAGGTGCAAACCCTTCAGCAGGTTGTCTGTTTTTAATGAAATGTATCTTGCTGTACGTCAAAATGAGTGATTGAAAATCCAAGGAATATACTTTGTTTGTGTTTTCAATAAGTTGATTTTTGTACATGTATGGAGCTAATCAATATTCTTTAGGAAATTTCGTAACGGGGATGTCAGTGTGGCCTATACCTAATTAATAATGTACTATCCTGTGCACAAGTTAACATGATATACCCCATTGTGGATAAGGTTATCACATGGGAAAGTAAGCGTAACAGTGTGTATGTGACTTTCACTGACATACCCATTGTGGATAAGTCTCTCTCATTTTTTTTTTTTTTGGTACGTGAAACTGCTCCCAAGCTTGTATAATATTCATTGTTCACACTGTGTTGCCATAATTATACTCTTTGGGCGGCATTAAATTTTGTTGCCAACCCAAACCCTTGTGGAGGGAGGGAGTGGTAGTGTGTGCGCCAATTGGACTGCCCTCAAAACATGCAACCGCGTATGGCAAAAAGCCCCGGGGGTTGATGTTCTCTCTCTTGGTCGATTATTGTTTATTCCAAGTGACAGCAAATTGCGAAGGAAGAACATCACCGGCTAAGAAACAACGTCAACCCCCCTCGGCTCTGCAAAATTTTGACAATCTTTATACTCCGTAAGATCTTCGTGATTTGGTCAGCTTTTGTTTGTTTGTTTCTTTCTTTCTTTCTTTCTTTCTTTCCAATGTTGTATTTTAAGGTAGTGGTAGTATGTTGTCATACGACTCATACCTAAGGATAAAGACTAGGGGGAACTGTCCCATTAAGGGTAGGGGATACATGCAGCACGTCTCATATAACCCCATATTAACCAATGAGTTTGTCGTTTGGAAAAATCGATAATCTTAGTCCTTAGAGTTAGGGTACCAACTTGTATCGCACCCACAAATGATATAAATACTATGGTTGCTTTAGCTTTACTCACTTCAGTAGCATATTTCTATGCGGGCCTTACAAAAAAAAGAATAGGTTATTTCGGTAAATACTTTTGAAATTTCAACTGATGTGGTAGTACTCCATCTCGTATCAACAAGTTTCAAGCGCGAGTTTGTAGTTTCTCGTGCAAGAGCTTGTTTGGATTAGGTTGGTAGAAGCCCATGTATTCAATATGGGGTCGATGCACCGTCGATTGGATTATGAATGAAATTTCAGTTTGATAGAACAAAAATTGAAGCGGCATCATTTCATTTTGTTTAATTCGATTCCACAGTAAATCTCATTTATTGAAAACAAGTCAGCAACTTGACATATTATATCCAACACCGGTTGTTATTTAGAAGTCGGAATAACAGTTAGTGCATGTAGCATGATGGTGTTTGTGTAAATCATGCGCAGATAATCATTGACTAACCTTAATTAAACATGGAAACAAGTTGAACCTGAGCTACGGAGCTGATTACGGAGTCATTTGAGCTTTGGTTTTGTGTGTATTAAGATGGTGTTTTAAATAATATGAGTTTATTATGCTAATGTTAGGTCTCTAAACAGAGGGCTAGCCTCCACTTTGAATACCAGATATGGGAAAACCAGAAGAGATCTAGCTATTCAGATCTTTCTTGGATTTTGAGCATCATCAAATTCCTTTAGTGGACCAAAATACTAAAAACAATTCATTAGGGTTTAATCAGACAGACTGGTCGAATATTTTACTATATTCACACGGTGGATCTATCTAACGTGAGTGAGAGTTGGCTTAATCAGACAGACTTAATGAAATTTCTCTCATGTCTCTTTATAAGTTATGTAGAGTAATGTTTTCTTTGAAACCATATGTTGTCAGGCTCGAAACATAGGCCGCATTTTCAAACAACAACCAATTTGATTAACGAATTAAATTTAAAGTCAGATAAGAAAACATACGTGAATTATATCATCCCCAACTTATGTTCTATGTGATGATATTTCAGTTATGCTGAAATTTGCAAATGTTTATTTGGTTGTTGCTAATAAAAATTGCAAGTAATATTCTTTTACCAACTTATACTTTTGTGTTATACAAATCTGAAACCCTAAACTTTAAACATTTGAACGCTAAAAAATAAACTTTTGAACAAAAAAAAGTATCAACATAAAACAATGCTTCATATATTGGAATTTATGCGTAATTTGATTGGGTAATTGGATGATCAATCTAAGCTCGTCTATTAGAGCATCATCAATGGTATAAGTAATTTTAACAAATCATATTATTTACGCTAAAAGAATGAGAGGAGTGAGTTAAGCCTCACAATGAACTAACAATAATGTGTGTTAAAATTATTATTTTATTATATATTGGTCCCTGCTACAATTTTTAAGAAATAAGTAATTTAAAATAGTTAAAAGTTGTAACATATTGGTGAATTATGAACTGCACACATTAAATAATAAAATTGACTCCATTGCTTAAAAAAAGACTAGTAGAAAGTAAAGAATCAAATGATTAAAAAAGACTAATAATTTATTCCTAGTTGGTGTATTAGGCAAACCAAGTAGGCAACATTATATTTTATTAATTTCTTTTCATCTATAACATCTACTTTTACGATTTTACTTTTTAATTTTGTCATTTTCCTACACATAGAATATTTTACTATAAACAGAGATGTGGGGCCATATTTGCTTACCCATGGTAGGCAACCTACTTAGGAGGTATAGGTAAAATTTGTAATGTCAATTGCCTATGCCATTAGAATTAGTTTTTCCCTACATAACTTATCAAAATGAGTTTGTCCACTCAATTGCCTCATCATATGCTCTTAATAAGTCTATGAAGTGGTAAAGTAGCTAAATAATTAGTGATCAACTCCAAATGATAAACTACTCTGATTAAAGTCATTTTATTTAATAAAATAGAAAGAATATAAAACATATAAACCTGCATTTGCATCCTTAATTGAACATTAATTATCGCTAAATTACAAGGAAGCCGTTATTCACGCTTTAAACAAGATTCCTCCCATAAATCAAATCAAAACAAAACTATTACTTATTGTTTCATCCAATGTTTAAGTGTATACTAATTACTATTATAATTAAAATCAGATACAAGTTGTACTTGTTTAAGTAGCAAAATTTTAAATTTATATTAAAAAAAAAAGTATAATTAAAATGAGATACAAGTTGTACTTGTTTAAGTAGTAAAATTTTAAATTTATATTAAAAAAACAATATTTATAATTTGAACAAACACTACGAGGTTCGACCAAAAAAAATCAAAGACTACGAAGATGGGGTCGCCGCGGGCCTACTCCTCTGCGTAAGAGAAGTGTTAACGTGGAGAAAATTTTCAATTGTGACGAGAACGCAGATGATACATCACGTGTTTCTATAGAAGTAGTGGAAAACTTTATTTTTTAAGTTATTAACACACATATCCTACCATTTGTAACATAATGTACCATCTCATGTACCGGTTATACTGAAAAATATTTCGTTAAGAAGATTTTCTCAAAATGGGAGTCTTCATGGACTTTCTGCCACTTCATATTTTTAGCACAATATTTTAAAATGTTTGCATAAAAAATATGCCAAAAATATGAAGTGGCGGATAAAATTCATACATTTTCACTTTTGAAAAAGTCTCCTCAACATTTCTATAATTTAAAATACAAATTCAGATAAATTAAGTAGAGAGTCACTGACTTGAGTTGCAATA